AAATCTGGGACACATGACTCTAGCTGGAATTGAAATTTGCAAATTTTATAAAAAAATTTATGACAAAAAATTATCATAAAACAGTTTGCGACATAATACAAAATGTCTTAAAACATTTCCTGTGTTGATGTTTGTTACATAGTTCAATATGAGATATTTTCAAGGCAAATACTTCTGAATAGGATTTTCTACTGTAAATTAATACATTAGAAGCTCTATCATTGTTGAAGGTAGCAAGGAATCTGGTAAAGAAATATCTCTTGAAAGTGTGACCCAAGGGTCATTGGTTGTCTAGTTGAAATTAAAGCTAAGTGCATAAACAATTTATCTTTTCCTTTGAAAATAAGTAGGACTTTAAGCTATAATCCTATTTACCACAGGGGCAGATATAAGTAACCCCTTCATTTTAGTACTGCTGACAGGTTACATAAATCTTATTTGGGATCAGTTGCCCTTTGCCAAGGACTCTCCATATGCCTCACTTACAAATGGTTCTGAAGAACAATAGAGTATTTAAGGGAACATAAATATGCAAGCATATACCGTATTTTCCGGCGTATAAGACGACTGGGCGTATAAGACGACCCCCAACTTTTCCTGTTAAAATATAGGGTTTGGGCTATACTCGCCATATAAGACTGCCCCTCTTCCAATGCACACCAAATAAAAATTAAAAAACATCAACTGGCTCACCTACAATGTAAAAGCAGCTGTGCTAGACCCAAAATGGCCCCTGCAACAAGCAGGAACCTCACACAGCCACAAAAAGTCCAAAAAACCAACTTTCACACTTTACACACACAAAATTCCACATACAGCTTTGTGAGATTTTGTGTGTTTGTGTAGTTGGAGTGAAACACTACAGAAACACACTAAATCTCAGAAAGCTGCATAAATATTGTTTTATTTTATTTTATTTTTATTTTTATATGAAAGCTAAATTTAAAACTTCCTAAACTTTAAATGGCTAGGTCTAAAAAAGAACAACTAAAAAAACCCCAATTGACTATTTTTTTTAAAGCTCCCAAAGGGGAAAAAAACTTACCCAATAGAACAGGGGTCTCCAACCTTGGCAACTTTAAGACTTGTAGACTTCAACTCCCAGAATTCCTCAGCCAGCTTTGCTTTGCTGGCTGAGGAATTCTGGGAGTTGAAGTCCACAACTAACTCCTTGCTTGATTGCAGGCAGGGAGTTGCTTGCTTGCCTGAATAGATTCAGGCAAGCAAAGCAAGGCAAGCGTTGCGACTAGCAGCTGAGGTAAGCAAGCTGGAGGGGGAAAACTTTTTCCCTTTTACATGGCTCTGGCCATCCCAGCTGAGTTGCAGGGAACTCAGCTGGGATCGTCAGAGCTGGGATCCTCAGAGTAAAAGGGAAAAAACTTTTTTCCTTTTACGTGGTTTCTGGCGATCCCAGCTGAGTTGCAGGGAACTCAGCTGGGATCGCCAGAGCTGGGATCGCCAGAGCCATTTAAGGCTCGTCAGAGCCTTTCGGGCTGGTCTGCCTGGTTACAGGAGAACTACACCCGGCGTATAAGGCGACCCCCGACTTTTGAGAAGATTTTCATGTGTTTAAAAGTCGTCTTATACGCCGGAAAATACGGTATTAATATTGATCTATTCAAGATTAGGGTTGCCATTAAATATTTTCTATTTACTGCAGAGAGGTGGGTCCCTCTATTAATATGATGCTATACTGGATAATCTAGATCAGTGATGGTGAACCTTTTCAGCACCAAGTGCTCAAGCTGGAACGTGCATATGCGCACATGCACTGGAGCGCCAGAAGCCCAAAGACCACTTGGTCTTTGGGTTTTCGGTGCACATACGCGCGCTGGCCAGCTGGTCTTTGCACCAGAAACCCGAAAACCATGTGCGCTGGAAGCACGTGCCAGAGGTTCGCCATCACGGATCTAGATTCTAGAATGATTAAAGACATTACAGAAGTATGTGATTATCTGTTAAAAATGAATGCTTTAAATTAAGAGGCTGGGAATATTTTAGTATTTAAACGCAGGCTGCACCTAATATTTGTTTGAGGAGGGTTGTGATTAAAATTAGTGGAAAAGCATCATATATGTGGGCAACAGCATAATTTTCTATTTAGAAGGGGGTTCTTTGGGAATAATGGTTTTGTTAAACTCTTTTAAGACTCATTTAACATTTTCATGTGTTCCCAACTTCAAAATCATGAGGAAATGTAGCATTGTGTTTTTCCCCATTGTGCTCGTAGAAAAATGTAAACGGATGAATAAGATATAGATTGTGTATTCCTACATTAAATATTTGATCCCAAACTATTTTGGATGCGGAGGATCTAATCTTAAATCGTTTTTAAAAAATACTTGCAGATTATTGTAAATGTATTTTAAAAAATTATAATATGAAAGAAATTTGTTCAGTGAAGAATATGTGCATTAACTTCTCTTATAGTGTATCTGCTAGAATCACTGGAGAAGTGACTTTGCAGAATTAAAACAGCTTTTTTTTAAAAGCAGGAAAGTCATTTCCATATTTATACTATAAAATTACAGTTTTAGTAAACTGTAACTGTTATTGGAATAAATATACCAAACTTGAAATTTTATGATTTAGCAAAACAAAATAATAGGGAAAACTTTGTATTTCTCTAAAATGGTAATTCATATAATAGTTTTACTGGTGCCACTGATAAGAATGACATGGAATTATTAACATAGTTAACTTCATATTGTCTTTGAATTTATTTTTTTAGTTTGTAATATCTGAAAATCTAGTTTTACTTTTGCTGCATTTTAGTGTTTTTATTCTTCATGAAGTTTTGAGTGCTAAGGAATTTATGCTAAGTACATTCACTCAGATACTAATCCTAGCTAAACAAAACAAGCTCTCTCTCCTCCATTCCCATAATTACCTGTGAATTAGGGAAGGGGGGTTGTCTTATATTGGCTGAGGAGATACTGCTATTAAAAACACATGCCGTAACAAAAGGAAGTGAAAATGGCTGCAGACCATTGAAAATTAACTGTCAGTTGAGGGGAGTTGATAGCTTGTGGATTTTAAACATCTCCTAATACCTAAATAGAACTTCTGTCACTTTTTCTTTTATTGTTTCCCCTTTCTCTTCCCTTCCCAGTATAGCTAACCCATCCATTTGCTTCATCTCTTTCAGTTTTTTGCTGCTTCTGCTAGAAAAGAAATAGGAAATATGTGTATCTGTGTACTTGATATATCTTTGGAGTGATTTTTGATAAACAGTTGCATACATAAAGAACATAGTGGCTATATTTGGGGGGGGTTGAGTGGAAATCTTGCTTGATTTGGGAGCAGGCTGGAGTGGGCAATTCTGGGTGAGCAAGGTGAGAGAATGCAAATTGAATGTGCTTAATAATAGAATATTGAGGAATGAGTTGGGATGAGCAGTTAATGGTTTTTTTTAAACATATACTTGCTGTCTAGTCATTCTTTAGAGATTGTTTAATTCAAGAATCTCTACTATTGAATCTAAATATTTGAGGGGTACCCATTTGTATCTTTGAAAGTTGTTGCTTTCTTTTCAGCAAGAAGTTTGGGCTGTCATTACTGAGGAGGGTTTTTTTCCCCCTTTTTGGGCACATGCTCTTTAATATATTGGATTGTACTTGACAACAGGTCCATTTTACTTCTGAACAAATTATTAACCCCAAACATTAGGATAAGAAAGTACCAATGTAATCTACCTTCATGAGCATCTCAATTTGATAGTGCTATTGGAAAGTATCAAATTGCTTCTGCATTTTTTCTAAATTCTCTGTTTCCAGGCTACAGCAGTGTTGCTTGTTGATGGCTTGTTTGGATTAACCAGTAACCTTTCCGCTTTTTGTCAATCTAATTGTTATACTGTTTTTATTATAAAAGGACTGCTAACATTTCTGCTTTTTCAATGTAGAACTTCTTCAAAGCTCTAGTAACATTTCATTTGGTGAAGAAAATGTTTTAAAACTTCTATTTGTTGTTGCATTGTTTAGTAAGGCTATTCATAATGTTCCTAAAAGTATTGAATGTAATGCAATTGCAGTTTATCTTACATTTGCTGAAGCATTTGTTGCTGTAGTTAATACTTGTCAAATTTAGCATCTGCTGGGAGAATAGAGAATGGAATTATTTATGTGCACATCAAATTGCAGTCAATAGATGTATTATTTTACATTGTTAGCCTAAATATTGCATGTAGTTTGTGTGTGGAAATGATCTCCTAGACCAGGGGTCAGCAACCTGCGGCTTCAGAGCCACATGCGGCTCTTTGGGCCCTCTGATGTTGCTCCCTGTCAGATGATCCCACCATTGGCTGGCCTCGCCCTCCCCTCCCAGTCACTCCTCACCTGGCCTGAGAAGGTAAGGGGGATGGCGGGGGATGGAGAAGCGGCCAGGCAGAGGCAGAGAGATACGGGGGGGGGGGGGGGGGGGGGGGGGGGGGGGAGATATGTCAAAAGGATGGTGTGGTTCCCGGTGTTTTTTAACAACTGGTTCTCTGCCCTAATGACCGGCTGGGTAGGCATGGCTAGGGGGTGGTGATCATATGACTGGTGGAAGTGAGTGACATTGAGTTGGCCACGCCCACCCAGGTTTTGTGGCTCCCAGTGTTTTCTTTTCTGTGGGAAATGGGTTCAAATGGCTCTTTGAGTATTTCAGGTTGTAGACCCCTGTCCTAGGCACAGTCTGTCAAAGTAGTAATTTTTGCTAGTATTATATAATTTATACATCCATTGGTTCTTCAAATATCTAAAGATACTTTCCATGAAAAACACTGAAATTTAAAACATGATAGTCTCCAAGAAGTTTTAGTTTATCCTCTCTGCCTGTTATACTGATCTACCCCATTTCATGTGGAAGTTTTCCAATTTAATATTCTTGTACATGTAGTACAAGTAGAATATCCCCTATATTAATATATTTTTTCTACTTAGTGTAATGCAGTTAAACAATCACATGTAAGCTTATTTTAATCAAAATGAATCAAATTGACTCTGTTTATTTCATTGCAGGATCTGGAATTCCATGGAGTTATGAGATTTTATTTTCAAGACAAAGCAGCTGGAAATTTTGCAACAAAGTGTATCCGTGTGTCTAGCACTGCCACAACTCAGGATGTGATAGAAACACTTGCAGAAAAATTCCGGCCAGATATGCGAATGTTATCATCCCCAAAATATTCACTTTATGAGGTGCACGTCAGTGGAGGTTAGTGTATTCTATTTGGGCTCTTAAAAAAGAAATAATAGAAGGAGTGAAAAAAATAAGCTTTGTAAAGTTCCTTGTTTCACTCAATTTCAGCAGTTAACATTTGAGAAAAAGAAATTGCTAGCTGGCAGTGACATATTAAAACTTAAGAATGTCAAAATACGTTAGCAGTAAAAATGTGTACAATCAGAACATTCCAATACCTTAATAAGTTTGTGGGCTCAAAAAAAAAAAAAAAATCAGCATTGATTTTTGATCAAATTGATGTAAATCTTACATTAAGTTTTGAAGGATTGGAAGCTTGTTCAGAGTTGGGTCACTTTAGGAAATATGCCTGGAATATTGGGATTGTGGCTATGAACACCTTTTTTTTCTAAAGGAGCCATTGCAGTTCATGAGTGTACAGTAATAGCGTAATGATCATCTGAATGATTATGCTGTAATAGTCATGTATAGAGAGTCAGTTTAGTATAATAGCTAAGGTGCTGGCCTAGAAACCAGGAGTCTGAACTTTAGGCTTCTTTTACATTTGAAAGCCTGCTAGATGACTTTGGCCCAGCCCCTCACTCTTAACCTCATGGCATAGCTTTGCTGTTGTGGGAAAAATAAGAGGAAGAAATAGTATACAAGTTTGCCTCCTTGAATTATATATAAAAAGCTGGGATGATATTTAAACATTATCACCATCTGAAGTCATTTATGCTAAAGAAACAGTTCTTGAAAATGGCCTGGAATTTTCAGCTGGCACAGAGTATGACAACCTTCCTCCTAACGGGAATAAAAAGGCTCATGTGCAGTAAGTTTTCTTACAGCCTCAATTTATTTTGAGAAACCATTCAGGATACAAATATTTTTATAAAACATTCTAATCCAAGATTTAGAGTTAGAGATAATGGTCTAGAATGAGGTGTTTTATTTTATACCGTTTGAAATGGAGCCTTCTTAAAGGCAATTTTCTTCAGGTAGGTGAAATTTGATTATAAAAAATAAAAGTGGACTTTCAGATTGGTTTCTTAATCATTGTAGGAAGATTATAACTGAAAGAAATGATTGGTGATAGAATTTTGTTATTATTTTGGATTCTCAATGACAATCTTTAGGTTTCAAAAAGATAAAAAATATTGGTATGACTTATTAAAATTCATGAACTAAAAATAATGTTTAATCCTCATTGTTTTACTACTTTATTGTGGAAAAAATAATCTTTGCTCTTCTATTCTGCAAGTTGCTTAATGTATGTCTTTCACCTTTGATACTATCTACATTGGGGATTTTTTTTAAAAAAAATGGTATTTTTATTCCTCTGAGATCAAGAATATTGGTGCAGTTTAATTAGCTTAAATAAGAGATAACTTGAGATAACTGTATAGTTCTTGTGATATATCTAATTTAGTTTCATTATCTAATTTTGAGAGGACAATGATTAAATGAATGCTTCCAAGATTCCAGAAACAGTAGATTGCAATTTATGGCCACCAGTTAAAGCTGGTTGTAGAGAGTTGCATGATATTATAGACTTTTATATAAGGTTTCATTTTTTCTTTAGTTTCAAAAAGGAAGAGCAAGAATTCAGTTAAGAAAAGAAATTATTTTCTATGCATTTGGTGAGAAAGATGTTTTGGCAAAAGAATATATACAAATATTTATGAAGTGGCCCTACCCCATATGTCCCCAGTTGTGAGACCCTGCTTATTAAGTTGGCCTCTAGGAATCAGTTGGGACTGTTGCTATTGTATCAAACTCTGCTTCTTAGCAACCTCCTTACCTGAGCTGCTTGTCTCCATTTCTGGATTGACAAATTTATGGTTTTGCAGGATTTTAATATGCCTTCCCCGGAATTGATTCTGAATTTTTTTTGAGAGAGAGATGGGTTGTTTCTTTATCTCATAAAGAGACTGTGGTTTGCCCCTCCTTAAGAAGCATTTGCTGGAACCCACTTTATTGGATAATTTTCATCCAATATGTCACTCCCTTGTTTGGGAAGGTGGTAGAGAAGCTTGTCATAGAACAGCTTCAGAAGGCCTTGGAGGAAATAGATTATCTGGACCATTTTAATTAGGATTCAGACCCAGGTATGGGATGGAAACAGCATTGGTTGCCCTTTTGGATGAACTTTGGTGTGAATGGGCTGAGGGTAGTGCATCCATCTTTGCGCTATTTGACCTCTCAGCTTTCAATACCATCAATCATGGTAGTCTTCTTGATTGGCTCAGAGGATTAAGAGTGGGCAGCATGGTGTTATGCTGCTTTGCCTCCATCCTTCAGGGCCAATTTCAGTTGGTGTTGATAGTGGAGGACAAGTCTTGCTCTCGGCCCCTACTATGTGAGGTGCCATAGGGTTTGGTTTTTTTCTCCTCTCCTTTATAACATCTACATGAGGCTGCAGAGTGAGCTCATCTGCCACCATGGGATGAGGTATCATCAGTATGCTGTGGATATCCAGTTATATATTTTCACCCTGGGGGTTTAAGCAATGCTATAAATCATCCTTGTGCCTGGAGGCTTTGTTTGAGTCTAGATGGGGAACAAGAGACTTCAGCTCAACTTTGGCAAGACCAAATGGCTTTGGTTTGTGGCTCTAGGATTTTGCCATCTGTGCTGCTGAATAGGATTTCAGTATGCAGTGACATCTACTGTGCACCCTGAGAGCTCCTCCTAAATGCATGACTCCTCCTCAAGGAGTAGGTGGCAGTTGTGGGTAGGAAGCTTTTTGCACAGCTTTGTCTTGTGTGCTAGTTGTGTCTGTTCCTGGATTGACCCATTTACATTCATACATGCCCTGGTCACCTCCAGATTGGACTACTGCTCTACATGGTGCTGCTCTTGAAGAGTATCTGGAAGTTTCAGCTGGTACAGAATGTGGGCAGTTATGTGTACTCCTAGAGCAGTGCATGTTATACCACTACTTCATGAGCTTCCCTGCTTGCCCTGGGGTCTAATTCAACATGCTGGTTTTAACTTTTAAAAGCCAATATGACATGGGTCAGGTTATTTGAGGGACTGTCTTCTCCAATTATATCAGCTTACCCCACTAGATCTGGCATATAGGCATGTTGTGGGTACCAACAACTAGGCCCTTCATTTGGTGAGTCTCAGGAGACATGCCTTCTCTATCATGGCATCCACCTTATGGAATATTTACCTCCCCCAAAATTAGATTAGCTCAATCCCTTTTGATATTCCAAAAAGCTCTGAAGTCTTGACTACGTTGTTGGACCTGGGACTCCCAGGCAATCAAAGACTTGTTCAGATGACTCCATTGTTGAGATGACCATTTTTATCCTCCCGTCTCTTGTGGTTTGTATCTTTCACTTTTATGACATGTATTATTAAGGGTATTTATATTGTGTATTTTTTTTATTTTATTTTTTTATCTGATCGTTGTTTGCTGCCCAGAGTCACCTCCAGTGGGATGGGCAGCTATAAAAGTTTAATTAATATTTAAATAAGTGTAATGACTTAATTCCTATAAGTATATGGACTGTCTTATCCACAGCTGTAATAGGCACCCCTTTTGACTTATAGATAGAAATGGAAGAGCAATGGCTCCCTGCTCTGGGTCCACTTTTCTGTATAGGAGAGAAAAATCTGGTTCCTTAGAGAGGGAACAATTGCCTCTTTGCTTAATTAAAGGGACTCTGAGAATTTTTTTTAAAAGTACCTTTATTCAGTATGTGTGTGATCAAATAAAACTGGTGGATCTTATGTAATACTTCGCTGATAAATAGATGAAATACTAAAGCTCAATGCTACTACGTTCTTATATAAATACTCAGTTTCTCAATTTGTGAGCAGGAAGAAATAAAACATTAAAATAGAACAATTATCTTTCTGGTAAACACAAAGGAAAGACATATTTGAGCATAAGAATAGTATGTAGGCATCAATATTATCATACGAAAACAGAAAGTTTTCACAGACTTTTCAGAAAGATGCATTAACATTTGGTACTGAAAGTAGTTAACCTTAAACCAGATTCTGTGTTTTTTTAAAAAATGTCTTTCTCTCCCCACTTTTCTTCAGGTGTAACAACATGCAGATCATAAATACATTTATAGCATGCAGACTGTAATTTCTAAAATGTTTAACTCATGATGCTTTTCTCTTTCAGAATATTTACATTTATTTTACATAAAATATCTTTTTAACAGATTAATGGGGATATTCAATATTCCCAGCAGTGTGTTGTATCTTTTATATATATATATATATATATATATATATATATATATATATATATATATATATATATATATATAGTAACTCAACTGAAACAAATTACATTTTGTAATTGAAGCAGCATGATGTCACTTCAAAAAAGCAAATTGAGTACTGTGCCACATTTGATGCTGAACTTAAACACCAAGGCCATCAATATAGTCAACATTTGGAGGGAAGGCAAGGATGTTGTGTTTTGGTTTTTTTTTCTGGACATCTCAGTGAAATTGATTATGGGCTTCAGCATAGATGATATTTCTCTGGTTTAAAAAATTAGCATTTTAACCAATTCAGTCTTCAAATTTTTCATTTAGCCATGTTTTCCTTATTCTTTCCACATCTTTTTGCTTTATTTCACATTTATTCATTCATTTTAAAACCTGTTTTATTGCTATTGTTTTCATTTCTCCTTCCTAATGTTGAACTTGAACTACATGTCAAGAAATTTATGAAGATAAAAGATAAAAGAAGATAAAAAGAAGATAAAAATACATGTATAAGAATTATAGCAGGCACTTTCTTCGTTATATTGTGGAGACTGATCAGCTAATTCATAAGTAAAAAAGCATTATGAGAAACTTAGGTTTGATGATTCTGAAGCTATGCTGAGTGCAACTAATAGGACAGTCTGGGGAATCCTCTCAAAAAGCAGTTCTAGTGTGCATAAACTTTTTCCATTTTACTTGTTTTAGTCAGCACAGAAACTCAGAGGCTACACCTATAATTAGGAATGCAGGTGTTACTTTTCCATGTCATCAAATAATGCAGAGAATATAACTAGTTTTCAAAACAAGTTAATATGTCAAAGATTCAAATATCTAATGATGGACTAAATGCAATATTAAGTGAGCAGATGTGCATGCATGTACATATGGGAATTTTCTCTTGCTGTTCTGCTGCATGCTCTCTGGTAGATTAACATTTGGGGCAACAGGCCACATCTTCTGCTAGACTTTTTAAAAAGTCCAGAAGTTAGTAGCCTCATCTCCAACAGTTGGAAGACAAATATTGTAAAACGTATTTCTTCTGTAATAAAACAACAAAATTGCATTCCTGTTATCATGTTGCTTTTCCTTATTATAGAGATGTTCTTGCTGCAATAGAAGGTTTGTTCTTGATACAGGGAAGCTTTTCATTAATTTTAGTGATTTTCATAGTTTTCTTACTACTATTTGATCTCCATACATATTTTTTGTAGCATAATAAAATGATACAAGACAATTCCAAAGGATTTTTTAAATATAATCTATAAAATAAGTTTCTAATTTAATCCCTTATTGACATAAATTTGGCAGTGTTTCTGAAGTAAAATATAGTATTTTTATAGAGGCAAAAAACAAGTTTCACTATTTTTTGTTTCTTGGTTTAACATAAAAAGTTCAGGTTGGTGTGCACCCAGGTAACAATAACCAAGAAGAAATACTTGTTTTACTGGTCTATAATTTAGCTGAGTGATCTTTATATTCTTTAAAGAGATTACAGTGACTTTTAGTGAACTGCTACCCTGTATTTGACACTGGTTGACTAATTTTGTGTCATTGGGTCATCGTCAACATTTACTCACCATCTAGATTTTCTCCATGATAGAAACCTGTTCCTAACCTGATCTACAGTACCCATTGCTACTGTACCTGAGTCTATCCACCTTGTTCCTTCCCAGCATTAGAGCCTTTGGTAGAGAGCTATGACTTTGCATAGTGTCCAAAGTAAGATAATTTGGGTCTGGTCATTTGTACTTTAAGTAAAAACTCTGGATTGAGTAGTTTGAAGAACCATTTGTTCATTTCCTTAGTCATGATATTTTCAGGAATCTTCTTCAATACTGATGTTATTGATGTTATTCATTTGGTTGTCTTATACTTGATTTTAGTCCATTTTTTTGGCAAAACTATTGTGAAATACAGTCACATGCTCATGGGATGCTGCAAATGTCCATAAATATGGCTGTGTTGCCAAGCATTCATAATTCAGTCATGTGACCATTGGAAAGGGTAACTGTTAGAACATTGGATTCAGACAGTAAGTCCCCTTTTTTAAGTCAGTCATAACTTTGAACAGTCACTAAGTCATTTCTGTTTGTTTTCTTTTGAATTTAACTGATCATAGACCAAATATTGACTGAATTGGTCAATTGATTACTTAGTAGTAAGTTGAATACCTGTAGTGTCATAAGCATAACATAGGTTTTTGATGTTTTTTCCTCCAAATTTAAAAAATGATAAAACACTTAACTTCTTCCAATCAAGCTTTCTTTAATATATCTATTCATTATATGGGTTGAATAAATAAGAGGAGGGTATAAGCCTTGTTTCCCTACTTTGCTATCCATAGTCTGTCCATACTGTAGCTTCCTGACTCGTATATATATGTTTCTCATGAGGACAATGAGATAGTCTGTGATCTCTGACACTATTAAATACTGATAATGAAGCTGTTTATTTAATTCATGGTTGGCTTAGGAACATGTCTTTTGAATATTAATCAATAGATCTTTTATTGCAGTAGTTACTTGAATAATAATTGGTTTAATTGAAATTTACATAGTTGTATCAGCTAGGTTTAGAGCAAGCATCGTTTATATCCCATTAGCTTTTTAGAAACTTCAAATGACTTGTATTTATTCTTAATTTTAAATTTTAATTTTAAATCTTGTCCTTATTAAATCTGATCTGTTCATAATTATATATTATTTGGTTGATTACTTTTTAATAGCTGAATAACCAAAAACAAAATGATCCCCTTGACAGTATTACGGTAACTTATGTTGTCAAAGAGGGAGATTTTTCTTAAGGTTATGGTGAAAAAAAGGCTAGTAAGTTAAAAAAGAGTGTTTGCCCCTCCCCCCATTTACTGAAGAAACTTTAAATTGTATATGTACATGCTGATATATTTAAACATTTGGACAACTACAGTTTACTTTTGAAGCCCATGGGCAGACTTTATATGTTCAAAGCAACATTTTTAAAAATAAGATGCTTTTTATTTTGTACTAAGAGTACACTCCAGGAATTGTCATCCAAAACTTGTGCTGCCTGGAAATTTTTGAAATTGTAGTCCTAACATACCTGATAAGTGTCAGGTGAGAATGATTGGTTCAAATTTCAATTACTGGCAGTTTATTCATTTTGATAAACTGATACACTTGATAGTCTTCCGTTATGGTACAAGAGCAGTTTATTAACTAAATCTGTTTGCTGTTGTCATTTCTTGGCTGCTCTGTTAATTGTCAACATTCTGCAGTGTTTGATCTTGTCTTTTTTCTCTTATTTTGAAGAAGAAAGAAGATTGGATATAGATGAGAAGCCTCTAGTTGTACAATTAAATTGGAACAAAGATGATCGTGAAGGAAGATTTGTGCTTAAGAATGAAAATGATGCACTTCCTCCAAAGGTAAAAAGAAGCAATGTTCTGTATATGTGTATAGATTTGAACTGTATATCTGAGTTTTCTATGTTAATAAAAGTAAACTGTATATCTGAGTTTTCTGTGTTTATAAAAATTGTCTTCGTATTGTAGATTTTTTTTTGTTCATCTCCATTTATAGTCAATGAATGTGCCTTTACAGGTAGTCTTATGCATGTTGGCACAGTTGTGTTAGGCAGAATGTGTGATTTCCATTCCATTTAGTTTATATTAGCTTAACTTCTCAAATTAGGCAGTTAATGCTGATTCAGATACTGGTTTTAACCAGTAGTATTTTTTTTAAAAGGGGATGCGGTGGCTTAGTGGCTAAGATGCTGAGCTTGTCGATCGAAAGGTTGGCAGTTCAGCAATTCGAATCCCTAATACCGCATAACGGGGTGAGCTCCCATTACTTGTCCCAGCTTTTGCCAACCTAGCAGTTCGAAAGCATGTAAAAAATGCAAGTAGAAAAATAGGGACCACCTTTGGTAGGAAGATAACAGCATTCCATGCGCCTTTGGCGTTTAGTCATGCCGGCCAAATGACCACGGAGACGTCTTCGGACAGCGCTGGCTCTTCGGCTTTGAAACGGAGATGAACACCGCCTCCTAGAGTTGGGAACGACTAGCACATATGTGTGAGGGGAACTTTTACCTTTACTTTTTAATTTTTTTTTGGAATAGAAATGTTAAATAGTTCTATAGTTATGTGAAAGATGGTCAGTGATTACAAATCTTATGTGTATGTGTGTGACAAAATACTAAATGTTCATGTGAAAGTCCAATTCATTTGTTTAAAAATCAACATTCTTAGAATGCTGCTTTCAGTGCTTCATTATATTTCAGATCAAAAAAGGAATTTTATGACCAGTGGTAATGCTTAACACTCAGTTAAGGAAATTTTTTTCATTGCTGCAAGTTGCTAACCATTCAAGGTTGACCCTAATAGGAAGCCACATTTATAAATGCTAAAACTGTTTTTATTATAAGGCTACACTAACGTCTTGAAAGCATGGATATGCTTCCTTGATCCCTCCCTTTATCTTCATGAGAACTATAGAGGCCTATCTGAGGTGCTTTCCTAGTTTACATTTTTCCCCGGATTTAGAGTTCTTTTATCTGATATTGTAGTTGTGTTTTTTCCTTCTATTCCTCAAGCTTATATCTTCTGTCCCATTACATAAGTAGAAGATTCATGTATATTACTTTGTATTATTTCCAATGAGAAATAAATTATAACCAAAAACAGCTAATGGATTTATATAATAAAAAGTAAAAGTTAAAATCAGTTTTAATACATTATAAACCAAATGAATTTATTTATTAGTAAACTTTTAAATTTTGAAGTATGTTTGGCTAGATTATGATTATCATGGAGTAATTACCTCTATTATGATATGTCTTATTTTTATATAACTAACTAGTCTAATTACCAATTTGATACATTCAGATTACTATGGGAACAGTTATTTTTCTGATTTTTAAATATGGGAAACTACATTTTTAATGGTCAGTAAGCTGACTAATTCCTATATTCTGCTAATTAGGTTGATAAACAATATATTTCTGAATTATATCTTATGAATTTATATTTTATAATAAAATTCAAGAAAAAAAACCCAGTTTTTTTCACTATAGGTATTAGCTAGTTAAAAATTTACATGTCCTGAAAAAACTTCTTTGGCTATAACATACTCAATTTGGATCTGTGAATGTTGATCAAAGTCATCCACATTTGGAAGTAATACTGAACTATGTTTTATTAATAGACTGGCAAATCAAAATAAACTGAACCAAAATAAAGGTAGTCCTCGGCTTACAACAGTTGTTTAGTGACCATTCAAAGTGAAAACGGCACTGAAAAAAGTGCACACTTATGTCCATTGCAGCATCCCCAAGGTCAGTGAACAAAATTCAGATGCTTGGTAACTGGGGTCATGTGACCTTCTGACCAGCAAAGTCAATGGGGGAGCTAGATTCACTTAACAACTGTGTTACTAACTTAACAACTGCAGTGATTCACTTAAGAACTCTGGCAAGAAAGTTCATAAAATGGGGGGAAATTACTGAACAAATGTCTTGCTTAGCAACAGAAATTTTGGGCTTAATTGTGGTTGTAAGTTGAGGACTTCCTTTATTAGGCTTATGTACACTCTTTGAGGGGCACAATGGCTCAGTGGTTAAAGATGCTGGGTTTGTTAGCTGGAAAACTGACAACCAGGTTTGAGACCTGAGCATGACAGGGTGAGCTCTCATTCTTGCCCCAACTCCTGCCCACCTAACAGTTTGAAAGCATGCAAATGCAAGTAGATAAATAGGTGCTACTTTGGTGGGAAGGTAACGGCATTCTGTGTTCCTCGGGCTGGCTCCCTTGACTAAAAAACAGATAAGCATTGCCTCCTAGAGTTGGACATGGCAAGACAGGGGAAACCTTTACCTTATACGCCTTTGGTAATTTAATTTGTACAGAAACTCCACTCGGATCAAGAATTCTGGTTTGAAATCAATTCTAGGTCAAGAATAATGAAATTGGTTTGTTAAAATAATCAGAACTTCTTCTAAATGAGAATCCTTGATTGGAAGATGACACTGAAGCTGAATTCTGTCAAAGTAAAAATAGTCACTCTCTAGACAGTGTAAAAGTTGTCATTTTGAAGTCAGGTGGAACTCTATCCACATAGGAATAAACTTTGGTTCAACATTGTAAATGAATTGTAACCATTCTATATTAATCATCTTGGTCAAATGTTGAAATAATTTTGCTGATTCTTTGCCAAATGCATAAATTACAATTATTATCACCATTGATATTTACAATTGAATGATGTTGCTTTGGAAAATAATATAAATGAATCAAATTACTAATAAAATTGACATGTTTCAGAAGGCTCAGAGCAATGGCCCTGAAAAACAAGAAAAAGAAGGAGTGATCCAAAACTTCAAGCGGACCCTATCAAAGAAAGAAAAAAAAGAAAAAAAGAGGCGAGAAAAAGAAGCACAGCAACAAACTTTAGACAATCATGGGCCATTTCATGGAGATGATATGTGAGTCTCAAATAATAAAATTACAGGAATTATTAAAATATGTTTTTTAAAATTTACTGATTGATTCTTACCACATAATTTATTGATAAAAAGTTTTTTATGTGCAGAACAGCACTTCCATTCTTAAATACACTTGCCAAGCATCCGAAGTTTGATCACATGATCATGGGGATGCTGCAACAGTTGTAAATGTGAAGAACAGTCATGTCACTTTTTTCAGTGCTTTTGTAACTTCAGATAGTCACTAAACAAATGGTTGTAAATTGAGGACTACCCATACTTTTGATTCTTTTAATATGTAACCAGAAATTAAGAATTATGAGTGCCTTTTTTGTAGTAAGTTTCCACATGTGTACTCTTAATGTGCAAAGAAAACCATGCATGTTTGCTCATTCCTCAATATTCTTGGAAATACTTTAAGCAGAATTTGGGGGTGGGGGATGGAAAGCAAGCAGGTTTCCTCTTATTTCTTAGTGACCCATTTTATTTTGCTAGGATCCAAGAACTATTTGTCACCAAAAAATTATAATGTTGTAGAAACTGGTTGATAAGATGATAAGCTGGTTTGGGGTGCAGATAACTGGTGTTGTCCATTAATGACTACAATAAATCACTGCTTATCTGGCCAGTGGATAAAGTACCTTTAAGTAACAGGTACATACACAGCCCTTGGACTGTTGTCTTCACATTAATGTTTATATTAATGTGAATATTATATACATACAATATCACATACATACACACACATACACACACACACAAAAAAACACCACACACACACACTTCAGTATAGAAAGTGTATGTTTAATATTACTTTTTTAAAGGAAAAGTAATATGTACTTGCATATTTTGAATAATTCTTGAAATTTATTTCGGCAGTGAAAACTCTCGTCTTGCAGCAGAAGTCTACAAAGATATGCCTGAGACCAGTTTCACTCGAACAATATCCAACCCAGAAGTGGTAATGAAACGGCGGAGACAACAGAAGCTAGAAAAAAGAATGCAAGAATTTCGGAGTTCTGATGGCAGGCCAGATTCAGGTGGAAGTTTAGATTAAAACCAAGGAATTTATTTGATGTTTGAAGGTTGGATGTCTAGCAAGAGTGTACAAAACTAGACATTTTCCTTGGCAAGTTAAGCTTTCTTCAATCAGAGAACTGTGTGCAATAAAAAGCTATCTTTTGAAAATACTAAGGTTGCTCTTGGAAAATTAGAGGTTTATAATTATGTTTGTTATAATTATTAATGAAAGCATGGTGTTTTGCAGAAATAGTCATTGTATTTTGAGAAAAATCTTTCATTTTGAAATTATTATTGGGAATTCTGTGAAATTTATGAAATAAATCAAATTGTATATTGGTACCTATAACTTGAATTAATAATTTATTTTTAGGTGGCACATTAAGAATTTATGCAGATAGTTTGAAACCAAATATACCATACAAGACAATCCTACTGTCTACTACAGATACTGCAGATTTTGCGGTTATTGAGGCCCTGGAAAAATACAGCCTAGAAAAGGAAAATCCCAAGGATTATTGTATTGCTCGTGTGAGTAAATTAATGAAATAAAATAGTGTCAAACTAATTATATTTCTCTGAACATTTGCAGTCTTTCAATGCTATCTCATTTGAATTTTATATCTGCTATTTTACATTATTACTGACAAGAGAACATTTTATTTCTTAGCCAATACATAGTATTAACACAGTAAATGTTTTGTCTCTCTGATTTGATTTGGCTATTAGTAGTCAAGTAGTAATTTAAAATAAGAGTTATTCTGGACTGGTTAAATTAGATAAATGATTTGTTTTTCCTTGCTTTACTTTCTCTATGACTCCCAGATCAACTTTAATAAAGCAATATAATGGAATAAACATATAAAAATAAATAAGCTATTTTCAAGATAATTCTTTTAAAATAACCTTTTGTTTTTGCAAAAGAGTTTTTGCAGGATCCTTTTTCAATTTGTGTTATGGAGGAGGTAGCTCTGTAGACATTAAGGAGTTGTACAAACACATTTATACTTAACAAAAAAGTAATTCCTTTGCTTTCTCCATCTTTGTGCCTCTTTCACCCTCTCACAATATTATATCTTTCTCAGATGATCCCAAATCTATGAATTTTGCTTTAAGCATGAGATATATAGGTAGGACCTTACTATTCTGTTTTACTTTGTAAAAAATGCATAGTGTCCTGACCTGGGATTATTAGAAAGAACTAATTCTCAACTGTCTACTGATTGGAGAGACAAAGCTAAAAGAACCAAAGAGACAGTGTTCATACTTCAGCCATATCGTATCTGTTCTCCCTTTTCTACTTTGTAATACTGAAACTTGGAAGTAAGAGTTGTGCTTAAAATGTTGTCCTTAAGTAGCAAATTAACTGAAGTATAAGGGTGTAGATTGAAGCATGATATTATTACAAATAATATGGAAATTTTCTGTGTTACTTATACCCTGCCTTTTCTTTAGGTCATGCTTCCTCCTGGTGCTCAACATTCTGATGATAGCGGTGCTAAAGAATCTATCCTTGATGATGACGAGTGTCCACTTCAAATATTCAGGGAATGGCCAAGTGATAAAGGTAACTTTAGTTTTTTAAAGTATGTAAGGTAACTTAGTGACTATTTTGACACAGTACCATTAGTAAATTGTAAACAAATCGAAAGGGTCTGAGATTTGTGCCCAGATTTTTGAATAAATAACAAGAGACTTTCTTGAAGCACCTGAATCTGAATTGAGATATTGTAAGTTTCTCAGTGACTGAACAGTCAAACGGTCCAAAGTGTTTGTATGGCCTAAAAAAGAGAAGGACTGTATAGTGAAGTTTGTGTAGGCCCATTATGTAGCACTAAATAAAAATTGGTAGTAGATCTGAATGGAATTGGATTTTGTAATGAAGCTGCATGTGATAGAGAATTTTAATTTTGTAACTTTGTAATGAGACAATATGTCTGCCATTGGCCATTTAGTGTAATTAATTTATACTTCTATTTTTTTAGGTCACATTCAAATGATCTGTTTGTGATTCTGTATTTTAGGAATATTAGTCTTTCAGTTAAAAAGACGGCCACCTGATTATATCCCAAAGAAGCTGAAGAAGCAAGTTGATATAAAACTATTAAAAGGAAAGGAAAGAATTGATAGGTCTGGTTATGGCTCTTCTCTTCCACCTGAGAAACTACCTTACCTGGTTGAACTAAGTCCAGGTAAGAATTACGTTATTAAAATGTTATTTGTGTTTGGAGTGATTGACTTTCAGAATTATTCTTGACAATTTCTGAGAGTTCCAGTCTGGGGTGTATGTATGTGATTTGCACACCTTTATAGAAAAGAAGAGAGATAGAGGATATTATTTGTGTTTTTCTGGGTTAGCCAGAGAAAGCTATTGGAGCTTTTTTGCATAATGTTAAATATTTTAGATGAACTATATCTACACAGAACCAGAATAAGAATTGTTATAATCTTTGTGTTTCTGAAGTATAGCAATAGTAAAATTATTTCCTTAAAGTCTAGTGGCCAGGCCACTGTTCTTTCTGGAGGGCATCCCACGATCCAGTGTGCCCATGCCTTGCTGGGAAGCATCTTTAGTGCCTATAAAATGAGCTTGTGGGCCAAAAATGATTTGGAGGACAGAAGGCATGACGTGTAGAGCTATGTGCATGCATTTATTTTACAGTTTTATGCTCTAGCTGTCTAGCCAATATTTTGTGCCTAATCTAAATACTGGGATACCTTCAAAGATTATCATAAGAAGAAAAATAGCTATTTCTAAGATACTATAAGTGGTTGTACAAGAATTCATATAGTGGGAATAAATAGTGAAATATGTACAGTGAGTTACAAAACTTTCTCTTTTGTAAAAGTAACCAGTTTCATACACTTCCCCCCACGGACCATTTCACATGGACCATTGTAGAATAGAACATTGCTTTCAGATGCAGTCAACCATCTTTATATTTTAAGGTGCTACTTGAAATATTAAATTATTTCCTTTATAACATTAGATCCACATGTCACTTCTATACTTCTAAATTCCTGCTTTTATAGTGTGTTAATTGATAATCGATCGTACTCACTTATTTGTGCATGATCACTGATAACAACATAACTTCTAATTAAAGTGGAGCAAGTACAGTATCTTGATTTATTGAAATACTTGGTTTCTTGAAAGATGATTCTGAGGAACAATTCTTCTATGAGTGTCCATCAGGCATATTTGACATGGTTACAACAGAAATGTGGCAGAACTTATTAAAAAAGGGGTTAATTTTAAGGAGATAAGGGCAGGGGACTGAACAGGGAAAGTACATACAGTAAGAGATTCTATATGAATGATGTGGTCTTTGGAACCCTAAATTTTAATAACAAAAGTACAGAATGATTCTTTTATAAAGCATTAAATATATAATGGTGCATAGTTTTAAAGATTATTGATGCTATAGTAATAGTATTTAGACTTATATACCACTTCACAGTGCTTTACAGCCCTTTCTAAGCGGTTTACAGAGTCAGCATATTGTCCCTAACAATCTCATTTTACCTATCTTGGAAGGATGGAAGGCTAAGTCAACCTTGAGCCTGGTGAGATTCGACCTGCCAAATTCAGGCAGCTGGCAGTCAGCATAAGTAGCCTGCAGTACTGCATTCAGGGGTCGCCAACCCCTGGTCTACAGACTGGTGTCAGTCCATAGCCTATTGGGAACCAGGCTGCACAAGCAGCGGGCAATGGCATGAAGCTTCATTTGCACATGCATGGGAGCTACTGTAGGTTGCGTGTGCAAAACCATCCCCTCCCCCAGCTGCCGCAAAACCATCCCCTCCCCCAGCTGCCGCTGGAGCAAGAAAGATTGGGGATCGCTGTGCTATAGCACGTAGGAATGATCAGTATTACTTAAAAAACTTTGTGACATCATGAATGGTAATGGACTTGGATGTTTTTCATCAGTAAACTCACCTTGGGCTAGCTACAAATTTACCAGTCACAAATTGTCAGCCTACATCAAGAGACTTTTATCACTGGGTGACATTTGAAATGCTCCGCATGTTATAGGGCTCCCACTAAACAGCTGGCAGTGATGACTATGGTCAGTTATAAACTACCCTTTTACCAGAAGACAATGTGATGATGCTACTCCTGATCACTACTACTACTACTTTTCAATCATGCTCTCCAGTTTTACCTTCTTTTTTTCTCTCTCCTAGCTTATTGTACTTCCAAAGAATTTGGGTGTATATTAAATGAAAAACTTCATTTGAAATAAAGATTTTTCGTGAGACTTTAGCGTTTTATTTCTGCAGTATCCTGCTTTTTAAATTAAAATAATATAACAAAATCAAATAAAATATACTGTGTCTGTGTGTGTCAAGTAAAGTGTCTACAGTACCTAGGGAGAAGGCTGACCCATACTGTATTTTTCATCATTTTATCTGAATAAAATCATCAGTTTTGGGAGACTAATGAGACCAAAAATGTATGTAGGTGAAGGAAAACCTATTGAAAGTAAAAAGCATTGCACAATGTTAACATGTATCCAGGTTTTCTGAAATGTTGAAAAGTTCAAGAGTAAAGGAAGCTGGATTCTTTTCCTATCCATTTTTATATACATAGAGATGCATATGAATATATTAACATATGCATGTATTATATACACAGTATGATGTATATCTTCATCCAACTTTTCTTGACCTCCACATTTTAGTAAGAGTGTATTGATACCAGGATTTTAATGATATCCTTTTCCTACAATATGCTTAAAATCTACTTCATGTATTAAATGTACTGTATAGCAGGGGTTTCCAACCCAAGTCTGTGTACTGGCATCAGTCTGAGGTATTCCAGAAACCGGGCTGCGCAAATAAGCAAAGCCCCATCCGTGGGATGCGGGGAGCACTTGAAACCACACCCCATCTGGTCCATGGAAAAACCTCTCTTCATAGAACCAGTCCCTGCTGCCCAAAAGGTTGTGGGCCGCTGCTGTATATCTTCTTCGCTTAAGGAAGTGACTTTTTAATGTTTCTGATTAGGAAATGTAGACAAATGGCAAAAAGAAAACTAAATATTTGAATTTTTAGGTTTGCTTGATGTTTTCCTTAAAACTGCAGTTAACTGAACATGTACTGTAACTGCTAAGTTGCTGAGACCACATAATTGGAACTTTGTTTTTTCCAGAACTGAGTTTACAACTGCATTGGTTTCTGGTCTGTTCCAAAATACTATCTAAACTGTTTATCTGTCCCTTTAAGTCCTTATATATCTTGGGGACCAAATACTTGCAATGTTCTTGCAATATGAAATTGAGAGTGACAAAGGGATGTACTGTTTTGATGGTGCCATCCTGCAAGTTAGAATATTTTCCTCACATGTAGTTGTTTTATATTCATTAAGATTTGTTCTAATCACTGGATGAAGGTTTTAAATTTGCTTTAGCCCTATTTTTATTTTTGCTTTGGTATTTTATCATTTATCACTGTCACTGTCTTCCTATTTTATTACTATTATGTTTGTAAATTCTGATTTTTTTTTTAATTTGAAAGAGAAAGAAAAATAGTTTTTAGTCTTTTAGTAGGAGCAATTATGTATTTAATTCGATAGCTTTCATTATGGATTGAATTATACTATAGATTAAAAATATTTAGTTAGTAAACTTTCTTTTACATAGATTATGTTGTGTGACTAAATAAATAGTAGTTTTTAATAGAAATTTGGTCAAACAGTATACCAGTTCTAAGATTTTTAGCATGGAAAAATATAGTGTTAGATACCAGTTCTAATTCTTCTGCAATTTTGCTGTCCCTTAAGAGTTATATAAGGCATAATGTATTGATTATTGATTGACAATTTATGTAGGTTACCATATTTTTCAGATTATAAGACGCACCAGACTATAAGACGCACCTAAATTTACAGAAGGAAAACAAGAAGAAAATAGTTTTTGGCATGCGCATGTTGGATTTTCGCCCTCCCAGGCCCCCAGAAGCATTCTGCAGTGCTCCGTACGGCCCATTTTTGCCAAAAACTGGCCTGTTTTCATCAAAAGCACACCCGTTTTTGGGAAAAACGGGCTGTGTGGAGCACTGCAGAGTGCTTCTGGGGGCCGGGGAGGGTGAAAACGCGATGCATGGAGGGTTCGGGAGGCCAAAATCGCCCGTATATATATCTATAAGACGCAGCTAAATTTTTACCCACTTTTAGGGGGGGGAAAGGTGTGTCTTATGCTCCGAAAATTACGGTAATTTATTGAAAAGGAATTTTATCCAAGCAGATTTATCTTTTTATAGAAAAGGTTATATTAAAAATATCAGTTTGTTTAAAAATTTGTCTAATTCATTTTAAATGGTTCATTGCCAGATCAGCCAGATGTTGGATTTGGCATTTTTATTCTATCAAGCATTATTGATTTTATTTATTATTTTAATAGAATTATTAATAGAATTAATTAATAAAGCTATAATTTTATTAAATTTATCTTAGTTTGAGTTTTCCCTCAATAATTGAGGGCTAGGGAATTGAGGACATTATGTAAGCAAAGCTACTTTTAAATTTTCAATATTTGTAATGCATGGAATTATTGGTGAACTTGAATAAAGGAAATGGGATATGACTTTTATGTTGCAATTAGTATGCTAGCTGTAAGTTGGTATGTTCTATGCCCTATTTATTTATTGCATTTATACATTGCCCTTCTGGCAGTTTAAAGTATGATAGATGCAGATAATTTCCTCATTTCATTCTCATAGAAATAAATGATTTAGGCTGTGATGAGAAATTTACTAGGCCCAAATCGCTCAGTGAGTTCCATAGTTCATATCTTTGTCAGTATACTAGTGAAAGCAAAATAAATGTATACTTCTGTCAAGTATGATAGGACATGTGCAGGTTTTCTCTGCATAAGACATACTTTTCAATATAATATACATCATATACACACTGAGCCGAGGTGGCACAGTAGTTAGAGTGCGGAACTGCAGCTACTTCAGCTGACTGCTAGTTCAGCAGATCAGCGGATCAAATCTCACCGGCTCAAGGTTGACTCAGCCTTCCATCCTTCTGAGGTGGGTAAAATGAGGACCCAGATTGTTGGGGGCAATATGCTATTTAGTATACTGTCTTTGGTGTAAGCCGCCCAGAGTCCTCGGAGAGTGGGAGGCATAGAAATATTAATAATAATAATAATAATAATAATAATAATAATAATAATAATAATAATAATAATATATGACAACATTCTGATATTTTGTTATATCTATATCTGGAAAAAATAAATCTTTGGTGAATATATAGTTACAGGACTCTGTGTTTAAATGTATATTATATTATCGTGGTATAGTTGTAAAAAAAATAAATGAAAGACAGAACAGTGAGTATAATAAAACAACTCTAACATAAATTATTTTCTTGTCTGCATACAATCAATTTATGACCTTTTTTTACTTCATTCGGTGACTTTTCTGTGCTTTCTTCTAGCAGCTTGTTGCCAACTACTTAATCATATTAATCCATCCACAACACCAATGTCTATATATTCTGTGCAGTTTTTAAAGTTGAAAGTATTAAACGCACTGCATCCTTTTAAATTGAGTAAGTGTTGGTGGCCTACGGTTTCACTCTTTCCTATCTTTTCTTTTCGCTGCCCTCCTCCGCATGTTCTGCATGGTATCTCTCCTGCTGATGCTGCCTTCACCTGGGTCCTGTGCATGTGTTTCTAATCCCAGGGAGAAGGAATCACTTTGCCTACTACAACTATCCCAATTATGAAGGTAATTCTATAATTTAATACTGCTGTTTCTCACTAATCACTAAAATTTTGTTCACAAAAAAAAAGCTCTGTCCATTTTGATAACAAATCTTTTGTTTTCCTTCTTTTATTGATAAATAATAAAATAAAACTGTTCTCTTTCTCATACACACCCAAACATGGTCAGGAAATATGACTTTTGAAAGATTATGGTTTTCCTACTTGTCATTGATAATTTCAATGTATTGGGGACTTGGGTTATTAACTTTTTTTAAAAAAAAAACAATAAATAGGGTGTCCACAATCAGTCTTTTGTATCATAAATTTCACCAATGATGAATTCCTTACAAATATAGGAAAAAAGCACACATTTTTGGGAGAAGGTTTCTGTTTGTGTATATATGTCTTTGTGTATGTGTGTGTGTACATGCACACACACACACATGCACATATATACACACTTCCCCACACATACCTCTTTTTTCTTATATATTTTTATTACTATAACTAAAATAAAATTGATAGCTGATCGGGTCTGAAGCAGGAGCTGCTACTGCGGGAGCAGACTTTATCTGAGCTCAAGCCAAAAAATATGTCTAAGTAATGAGAGCTGATTAGTGCAAAACAGATTTTTTATTTTTGGTTCCTAATCCCAAACTGTAAGTCTGTTTTCAGACTTGTAACAAACTCTGCTGAGCTGTTCAGTTTTATATGTGTATAACATGCATTCCAAGAATGGAACATTCCAGAGAACAACTGAAGAATAGCAGTTTCCCGGAAGTTAGATTACCATAGCCTGGAGGGAAACTGGAATGTTTTTGTGTTTCCTAGGCTTGCACTCTGTTTCATTTGCATTAGCATTCTTAACAGGATTTGGCTGATTTGCCTTCCTAGTCTTCCCTTTCTCCCCTATGGCTCTTTGCTGATTTATAGAGGCAGTTTGCATCCCAGGTAAGCTTTGTCTGCATACTATCTTGACATACAATGCCCTTACTATACTATGGATCTAATTGTCTTGTCAATCTGCTTGTTTACTTGGAGCTCATAATGATATTTAGTACTACCGTAGGATTTAGTCTTTGACAGCATAACATTGATGAGAAAACCAGTCAGAACAATACTAAGTTTGGCTGCTTTGTGATTATATTCCAGCTTCTGGGAGAATTTGCTGTCATGATGATTAACTGAGAAGGACCAGTTTATATTGGATCTACAAAAGATAGATTGGCTTTATCATTGGCCAGTATTAATCAAAAGTATTTAGTTCGGGCCCAATATCCTGAATCCATATATTATTCATTTCTACTATAATTATAGCTTTATTTTGAGTCAAGGATCAACAGCCTCATCTGAAACCACTGATGGAACAAAAATTCAAAAACTTTAGAATGCTATAGCCATAAAAGATAATGTGAGTGAGAAAAAAGTGAATTTTATTTATGGTTTTTATGCTAGGGCTACATAGGTGTCAAACTCGCCACGTCACATTGGCTGTCACATGATGTATCACAATGTTTTTTCCCTTCACGGAGCTGGAGTGGGTGTGGCCTGTACATGACTCATCCGGACCATGGACTGCCAGTTTGACACCCCTGGGCTACAAGATGGGGTTGTAGTTCAGGCTGACTCTTATCTATTCCCTAATTTGCAAAAAAGCTAGACTGGTAGTATAATTTGTCTTGATTGTATAGGAACAATGTTGCCTGTAATCATTTGTCTGCTTTTTTTTAAATGAATAATTCCAAAATACACCAACTTGTTCATCATATACGGAAAATCTAAATATTTTCTTGTTTTGTTAAGTGTTTTGAATCATTTTGACTACATCTAGAATGATTAAATGTTTCAAACTTGTCTTTATGGTGATAGTGCAGGTAAACTAATCAGTCAACTTAAGATTCATTTTAAAAAATCAAAGTTATTCTTGAAGGTCTCAGTGAGGAAAAACATTAATAAAAGAGCATCCTGGGGAGTTACTGCTTATTCATAAAGGTACAGAGGTGATAGTCTGTGAAACCAGAATTTAGGTGGCTTAATATGTTTAGGAAGGTTGAAGATAATGGCTGTGGAAAGAGTGGAAACTCTTCTGGTGCTACTGGAACTGTTGGCAACTTTTACGAAAGTTGACCACAATAGTAGTGGAACCTGGAGTAATCAGTGCTGCCAAAAGGACTGGCGAAGAACAGCCTTGCAAAAAGCAGGATCCCAGAGATGTCAAAATCAGTCTAGCAGCTGGAGAAGATATGAAGTGGCTGTACCCATTTAGCAGCAGCAGCTGTGATACTGCTGATCAGCTGTTGAACAGTTACATTTGCTTATTTGGAAGTACTGCCAATCAGCTGCTTGGTGCTAAGCTGCAAAATGGTGGAAGAATGGTGCCGAGTGCTTATTCAGCAGTGCCTAGTGGCATGAATGATACCTACTGTTACATGCTTGGTGGTGCTGGTGGTGGCAACCTGGAAAACCTGTAGCAGGATCAAATTGATGGCCAATTGGGTGCTACCTGAGTCCTTCAGCTTCTTTTGAATCTGTCACTTGGACAGTGATTATACCATCTTCCTCATAATGTTTCTGTTCTAACTGCTAGAGGTACCTCTTTTACATTGTTTGCATCTGTGGCATCAGAGGAAGCTGGGACTGAGAGCTGGGATTTATAATCTGAGAACGCCTATTTTCTCTGTAGATGTGAAACATGTGGGAGGGTGCAACAATAGTCTTGTCCTGTTACTCTAGTATGTAATTGATATTGAGAGGCTTTTAGTACCATCAATCAAGATATTGTTCAGGACTGGCTCAGAAAGTTGGAAGTGGGAACATAGCAGTGTAGTGATTTGCTTCCTTCTCCCAGGAGAGGTCCAGCTGTGGCCCATGCCCTGCTCACTTTTAATAGCTACATGTGGCCTCTGGGTGAACTCATGTATCAACTTGGGTTAGATATCATCAGTACATTGATATTACACAGTTCATTTCAGCGTCTGATTTTCCAAATGATCCCATCTAGATTCCATTTGTAGATGTGAGGGTATCGGGTGAGAGTAATATAAGTCTCAGTTTTCATTAAGTGACTACAAGTTACAAGTTTTGAAGCCTCTTGAAGACTTTGTTTTTGGTTCTGAGGTCCCACTGCCTCAGATAGTAAAAGACTATAAAATAGTTGTTTGCTGTTTAGGGTTCCTCTTAGATTCATGACTTCTCTTTCAAGGACAAGTGGCCATCATGGCTCAGGCTTTTGTAGGACTGTATGCATAAATTATGCCCATTCCTAGTTCAAGAACCCATACTTAGTCATCCATGCTTTGGTCAATTCCCATATGGATTATTGCAATTTACTGTATGTGGGACTGACTTTGAAAACTATTTGGAAGCCACAGCAGGGGGCCAAATTCTTTGTTTGCCACTAACTGGCAAACAACTTGTTCTGACTGCATTGGTTTCTGAGAGCAATTCAAGGTGCTAGTTACCACCTTTAAAGCCTTCAGTGCATTTGGGCCTAGTTATTTGTGGTCTTGCTTATCTCTAATTCTCACTACCTAGAAAGATCAATTCAATTAATATACTGTAGGACCCATTGCTTATGGGACCCAGAAACATGCCTTCTTTTGTTACCATGCCTGCCCTTTGAAACAATATTCTCTCTGGGATTCGGATGGTCTCAATCTTGCTGGCTTTTCCAAAGACTCTTTTTTTCTCCCAGGCAGGTCTTGTGAGTCCATTTGGAGAGATTATTTTTGATTGTTTAAAACAATGTGTTTTTATTATATTGTATTATCCTTTATTTTTGCAGCTTTTTTTTTGCAACTTTTCTTTTTTAATGGCATACTCAGCGTTGTATTGCATGTTGAGTGGATGTCTGTATAAAAAAATATTGTCAGTAAATTAAGCTATTTTTTTTTTCTTAATTTCAGTTTCTGTCTACCGGAAGACCTTTGCTCTTATTAGTATTAAAGTTAAAGGTCTGCCTTTTTGTATCATGTTCTCTTTTTTCCATCAGCACTCAGAGGAGAGACTGGCTTAATAAAGTAGCCATCTGATTTGTTGAGTAGCAGAATTCTTCCAACTCTAATGCTACTTTAGAGAAGGAACAAATACAGGGTCATTTTGAATTGCCATCTTAGCTTTGCTAAGACATTTGTCTTTATTTCTGTTTAATTCTACAACAAACAATTTAGAAAGGACCAGTGTGACAAGCAAGAATGGATCCCCTAATCCATTGACAATGGGGATTGCTTTCAGCTATTGGAGATTATTGGAAAAGACAGTAGAAAGTAATGATAGACATATGATCATGGGGAGTGAATGGAGGGTCTAAAAATAAGGGATATGTCTTGCTCCTAATTCCACCATCTGTCTCCCTTCCTATAGGATTAAAAATAACCCCTACAGATTGGTGTGGAAAGATACAGATCTTTCTTGTTGTTTCAAATTTTCACTTTGATGGTTCTGCTTGGGGGAATGAATCAGCGGGTAGCTTATTTATAGCTCAGCCTGGCCCTTGCTGTTGCCACAGATAGTTGGGGTAGGTTGCGGCAATTTTGAATTTGATAGCAACTCCCAAATCTAATTTTTCAGAACTATCCTCCTAAAAACATTTAGGATTCTGCAGGACTGGAAGTTGATTAAGCAATTTAGCAAGACTCAGCATCTTCTAAGATTCTCTCCTACTGTTCTCATTGTAGGGAAAAAGTTCAACAAATTAGTTAAAGTAGCAGATAAGTATATCTATAGGTTTTGCATAATGCTCTTGTAGGGCTATATATGCAATATATTCAATAATTATTTAGTTACAAACAATGTTCAGAGAAAGTAAATGAAAGCTTCAGTTTTATGACCACAGACAGTTTCACAACACATTGTGCAATAATGTTTTTTCTTCATAAATTATTTGGGTATCTCAGAGTAGAGATACTGTTAATTCTTAATGGCTCTTAAGGAGACAGTTGAACCAAATAAAACAATGCTTAACATTTCTCTTATACTTGGAGCATTTCACAAGGATCCATTTGCACGTCAGCATTATTCCATATGTAGTCAGAGGAAACCTGGAGGCTAAAAGAAATATAGAATGCTTATCTAAACTCCCCATTTCGGTTTATTCTAGAAATGGGATTTCAAATAAAGATTTAAAAAGTTATTAAACTTCCATCTCTTGGGTAACGTGCTATAAACTCATGCTATCTTAAGGTCAATATTAAAAAGGCAAGCTGTAGCAATTGAGTAACATTATCTGGAAGGATATTCAGCATAGTTTTGGGGTCTAGTACAGTATTCTGGAGTTCCTTTCCTGCATCAATGAATGTCATACATTCTAATTATTTAGCTAATCTTCAGTATAAATTACTGCTTAGGAGATAACTTATATTACCTGTAACCATTTAAAAACAAATTTTAATAACAGTTCTGTCTCTGCTGTATGTCTGTCATCCATCCATCCATTAGTTAGTTTACTTTATTGTCATTGCACATGGTACAATGAAATTAAATGCCGTCTTCAGTGTATATTATAACTATAAAAATAAAAACACAAACATACATCCTTTACATTCTATATAATTGAAATTGAAAACCTGATATTGCACTATACCGTAGAATTCAATATGGTTATTGCCCTGGGATAGAAGCTGTTTTTCAGCTTATTTGTCCTTGTTTTTATTATCCTGCCAGATGGTAATAGTTCAAAAAAAGGGTGCCCAGGATGAGATGGATCTTTAAGAATGTTTTGAACTTTCTTAAGGCAGCGGGAGCTATAAAACTCTTCCAAAGAGGAGAGAGAGCAACCAATGATCCTCTGGGCAATGACGTTGACCCTCTGGAGTGCTGTCCTATCTGCCACTGTGCAATTGGCAAACCATACACAGATGCAGTAAGTTAAAATACTCTCTATGGTGCAGCAATAGAAGGCCACCAGCAGTTTTTCATTCGGTTGTTGTTTCCTGAGAAGTCTCAGGTAGTATAATCTCTGCTGGGCCCTTTTGACCAGTGCTGCAATGTGAGAGCCCCAGGTCGGGTCCTCTTTTATGATAACACCCAGAAACTTAAAACTGGACTCTGTCTCCATTGATAAGCAAGGGCTGGATGTCTGATCTATTCCTTCTATAGGCCACTATAAGCTCCTTGGTCTTATTTGTGTTAAGGACCAAGTTATTGTCTCCATACCACGAAAGCAACCTTTCCACCTCATCTCGATAGGCAGACTCATCCCCCCCCCCGGAGATCAGTCCCACCACTGTTGTATCATCTGCAAGTTTAGTAATAGTATTACTAGCGTGAGTTGAAATGCAGTCATCCATCCATTATATTGGTTTTAGATTTTTCTTGACATTAAATATATTCCCATGGCCCAATTTAACTGTATTTGTTACGTTAGCAATTATCAGAAACATAAAACATATAACCCTCCGCCTCCACCCCTGTACTTGCACTTTCCCTGGTCTTTCCAGTGTTCTGGATTACTACTTTGATTTGTTGTTAGATTGAGATAACAACATTGAATAGAAATTACAACATTGTGGAGTATGTATTATAGTATTGTTTTCAAAACATTATTTCATCAAAATTATTGACATGGATATTGCCATACCTATGCACTGCAAATGTTCAAATAAAAATAATTTGTGAAATACAATAATTGAGCATCCAGAATAAATATTTGGCAGATATTTTGCGTATTTGGGATCACATGCCAAAATCACATAATGCTTCTGATATTTTAGGATAATTATATTTTGTAACTATGTATAGTCAGTCAAATGGTAGACTTTATTAATATAAGGCATTGTTACATATTTCAGGATACATAGATGTAACCAGTTCTCATCTTATAAGTGATAAGGCTTAGGACCGGGGTACTTACGAGACCGCCTTCTGCCACCAATAGCCTCTCACCGCCCAGTACGCTCCCACAGAGAGGGGCTTCTCAGGGTGCCGTCAGCCAAACAGTGTCGACTGGCGGCCCCCAGGGGGAGAGCCTTTTCTGTGAGGGCACCCACCATCTGGAACGAGCTCCCCCCAGAGATACAGAAGATCCCGGATCTGTGCACTTTCCGCCGTGCCCTCAAAACATTCCTGTTTCAGCAGGCCGGCCTGGCCTAACTTTCCCTTTATATTGCTTTTGATTTTGTTTTAAACTGGGATGTCTTGAATTATCTAGGACCAGAGTGTTTAGTATATTTTAATTGGTTTTTTAACGTTTGTATTACATGTATTTTTATCTTTCGCTGTTCACCGCCCTGAGTTCCTCGGGAATAGGGTGGTATATAAATTAGATAGATAGATAGATAGATAGATAGATAGATAGATAGATAGATAGATAGATAGATAGATAAATAATTTGAGAATTCATATGTGATATTGTTACATTAAAATGTTTAAAAACTAAAAACTTATTTTTAAAAAATTAGAAACCAGGGGTCTGTCAGTTCTAGTTCCACCTTAGACATGAAAACTGACTGGGTGACCTTGAGGCACTCACTCTCTCTTAGCCCAACAATAGTGAGGTTGTTGTTATTGTGGGGAAAATCGGAAGAAGGCATTTTATGTATGTTCACTGCCTTGAGTCTAAAAAATATTAAAGCTGAGATAAAACTCTAATAAACAGGCTGAAAGCTGCACAGCTTGTTCTCCCATATTTGGGGAAAAAGATTTCTTATATAATTTAAGAAGTATTCTATTTAATCTTTTAATAATACATAAAATGAAAATATGTAAAATAGAAAGAATTTAACATTAAAAGCAAACTTCCATCTGCAAAGGAAGAAAATGAGATCTAGCAGAAGGAAGGGATGATCCTCTAGAGCAGCCTTTTGGTGGCACAGAGAATAATTGATTTTTAAACGTAGTTAAAATTAGTTTTGAGGTGGCATTTGACACAATATGGGGAGTCTTGACCTATGGCCAGAATTAAAATCATACATTGTGCTGGTCATTAAGTAGATCACCATGTGACTGCACCTGATTTTACAACCTTTTTTGAGGCAATTGTTAAGCGAATCCATGGGCATTTTTTGCCTGAAACCAGAAGTAGCAACAAATGTTATAAATCCAGCAACAAATGTAATAAATTGTTATAAATTGTGTGGGGCATTGCAAATGATTATAATTGCTGAGTGCCCAAAATGCAATCATGTGATTCAGCGGAGGGAGGAGGGAGGGCATCAGAACTTTGAAGCTGGGTCATAAGCAGTCCTGGAAGAGTCTACGATAACAGTCACTAAGCTATGGGTCATTAAGTCAATGTACATGATTAGGTCTTAAAAAATCAGTGTCTCTTGCTTAGTTTCATTATAAAATTATCTATTGCTATAGATGGTTCTGACTCCAGAGATAAACCAAAGCTCTACCGTTTGCAACTAAGTGTGACAGAAGTTGGTACAGAAAAATTTGATGACAACTCCATTCAGGTGAGTTCAATAATTTGTCCCAATTACTTGGGACAAATAATTCCATAAGAGTTGTGTTCAAGTTTCAGAGTATTAAAGAATTACGTTTGTAAGCCTCATTTAGCGTATTTGATCAAAAATGTAATTGGTTGCAAAATACAGTTGGGAGGCTAAAATATCTTTGTGATATGTGTAATGTAAATTTCCAAGTGAGGCAGGGTATACAATTAAACTCTTCTGTAACATTGCAATGCACAAAGGCCTATTGGAATATTTGAAGAAGATGTAATATTTTAAGTGATGCTGGAGAAAGTCAATAACATGCTAAATTCTTAAATTAATAACACAAACTTCAGTAGTATTTTAAAATGGTTCTCTGAAGCCATTGTCAAATCCTTATCATAGCCATACACTCTACTGATTTGAGTATATGGCTTTGATCAAAGTAGGTATCTGAAGAAAACTCCAATTTTAATAGTTATAAACAACTGTATATTCAGTAGGTGGGAAAAGTGAAGACAATCTTCAAAGGTAATACAGGTGTGTGTTCTGTCATTTTGAAATGAGCCATAAGGATCTTGGCTTTATGTTTTAACTTTCCTTGTATGAGAAGTTTTGATCACTCTCTGGTTCAAGGTTGATAAAATGAGGACCCAGATAGTTGGGAGCAATATGCTGACTCTGTAAACTGCTTAGAGAAGGCTGGAAAGCACTGTGAAGCAGTATATAAGTCTAAATGCTATTGCTATTTGTAAAAAGCCCACCAAATAATGGTCTGCAAAAAATGTGGATTTGCAAATTAGCATTTATGTCTCTTGATCCATATTCTTGGTATTATGATCTGATGGCACTTGTGATATATTTTAAATTGTATTCAGAAGTATTGGATTCCTAATGTGGCAAATGAATAGCGAAAGGATAAAGGTCCTCACAAACATAAAACACTGTCTTGTATTAGTTAATCATGGCTTAGATTAAATTTGAATAAATGCAAATTATAATTTTGTTTGTTTCATCAATGATTTCTAAAATACTTTTGTATCATTTTGTTCTGTGTTCATAGATTTTGTCAGTTGTAGTTTCTGTCTTCATTAAAACATTTTACTATAATTACTTCTGAAAATAATTCACAACCACAGAAATAATAAAGGACACATTTAGGCAGGAATTATTGAGTGAGAAAATTTCGGTTCAACACATCTTAGTATAAATAAATAAAAGCATAAAATTGGTTGGAAACATACTATGGAACAGATCTCATTTCAACTTTGCAATCACTTCTTAGTAACAAATGTTCTCAGGTTGCTTCAACAAGATAAAACAGTAAAAATAAATAATTTGATTTTTTAAAAAATGAATTTTACTGCTACATTTTAGTAGTTAAAAGGTGCAAATTGTGGTATATTGAAATAGGCTACATATTAATAAAATGTAACTTTCTACAATAAGCATTATTATTGGAAAGGAATTGATCACTAATTAATTAATTGTTGATCCTATTATAGTCTAACAACTCTGTTCTGCTTACATAATATTTGATTGATGATTGGTTATGTGCCGTCAGTTTGCAACGATTTGTAGTTTAATAAGAGAAAATGGATATCTCTTTGAGTTATATAGATGATTGCATATTATATTTATTTTTAAATCCTGATTTTTTTTGCTTTTGATTTGATTATTTGTATCTTCAGTTATTTGGTCCAGGAATTCAGTCACATCACTGTGACCTTACTAACATGGATGGAGTTGTTACAGTGACTCCCAGAAGCATTGATGCTGAAACTTACGTAGAAGGTCAACGGATCTCTGAGACCACTATGCTGCAAAGTGGTATGAAAGTTCAGTTTGGGACCTCTCATGTATTTAAATTTGTGGACCCCATTCAAGATCATATTCCTAAAGGACGTCTAGATGCAGGTCACATGGTCAAAAATTCACGTCTCAAATCTGGGTAAATCCACAGTTTTTAAGAAGTAATCCCAAATTTAGAAAATTATTTAAGATGGTGAAGGTGTATCAATGTTTTATGTAATGTGCCAATTAATAATGATGTTAATCTGGTCACCAGTAATTGTTCTCCATTGTATGAACTCTTCTGCAATTCACACATCTTCATAATTAGAATAAATGTTAGGATTTTAATAATACTGTACATTAGCAGAAATCAATTTATACATTTATATTTCACCCTTCTTATGGACTATTTCAGCAACTAATGACAACTAAAAAATATATAAGGTGATGCTATTAAAAGTTACAAAGAAAAGTTATAGAAGAGGGCAACTGTACTAATTAAAACAGAATTTATTTTGATACTGAAACTAATACCATCATAAAGAGGGTCTTAAGTAACTGATGGCAAAAGGTCATCTGAATGGTAGGAAGTCACCTACTTTCCAAAGATTGGGAGTTGTACAATATAAGTGTACTCCCAAAAAGGCTATTTTCATCAACATAAGACCAGACCTACCCTATTTATCATCTTTTGAGACTTATTGGCACTTTGCCTATGTCTGGTATTTCTGAAGTTCATCCTTGTCTAAGAAGGATACTTTTTTGCTGTAAAGTTCAGTCATTCAATTAAAACTGTACTCCTTCTGTTTAGATTCCAATGTAGATCATATTCTAGGATAGCAAAAGCTGTTTCAATCCTGTACCTGGACCTAAAATCTACTGGGTCTGCTAATTTATTTTAGAAGAAATACTAACATAAACAAAAAGTATCAGTATCCTGTAATATGATGAAATAAGCAAATATACATACATTTAATGTATTTAAATATATTAACTGGAATTATTGCAGGATCTTTTTACATTATAAAAATATGCAGTATTAAAATATAATTGATATGAATGGAAGAAAAGATAATCTATTGACAATTGCTAATTAAGTATTTTAGATCTTTAAAAATAGCATCATAGTATTTCTGTCTTGAAATCAATAAATAATAATTGTTAGCAATCAAACTGGAAGTATGATTATTAGTTTTTATTCAATCCAATTGAAAAAAAACAGAAATAAATTCAGAGGTAAAGTATTTCATGGTATTTTACATTATCTAAAATCAGATTTCAGAATTAGAGATGCCACGATACTCTAGTTAAAACATTTTGTACAGCATTTCTGCAATGTATCCAAGATTGACAGAATAACTGATAAATAAAATGTTCAGGCTTGGAAAAAATAAAAGGTTGCCTACATTTAAGTAGGTAGGAAGGACTTAACACATTTAATTTTGAATCACATTGAGCATGTAGAGGTTCAAACTTCAAATGTGAATCTGTTGTTTTGAGCTAGAGTCAGCTCTGTTTGATCCAAAGATACTTTCAAAATACCCAGGACATTTCACAAACTTGAAATGTGAAATTACATGCTCAAATAAGTTTAAACCGAAATGTGCACACCTCTTCTTAACACTTTCAGATACTTCATACTTTTATGTAATCAAATACACAGTGAATTTGCTAACAATAATTACTGAGCAATTATGTAAGAATTGTTTTTATTATATATTCTTATATTTATTGAATGTTCCTAATCATCTAGTTCTTGAATGTATATTGCCTTCTCAGAGGTGTACAAGAAACAACTTTTGATTTGGAAGGAGACATCCAAAGTGTAACAGGATTATCTACAAGCAAGGTAATAGATTATTAGTCTGAATAGCATGACTACTATAAGATTTAACAGTTGGTACCTTAAATATATTTAAGAACACAGGAACATCTCAGTATAACCATTCAATTTTCTGTTTAGTACTTTGAATGATTTGATTATTTATTTTTAAAGTTCAGGCAGTCCTTTTCACATTGATTTATCAAATAACATTTTCATGGAATTTATGCAAAATATTGGGAGGAAATTTGTAGCAGTTGTACTGTTGGAATGCCATATAGGAATAGACAGGGCACCTTCAGAGGAAGCATTTGCTTATTTGGTTTTAGAAAGACAGTGACAGGTTTTCAGAAAGCATGTTCAGTATTACTAAATTTAATAAGATAAATCTTTAAGAAACTTGTGAAGATTTACACATTTTATATGAAAGTAAATTTAAACTAAAACAACTTTTGGATATGTGTTGTATGAAGCAGAGCATCAATAGATTGGACTGTGACAGAATGTCAACTTCTAGCACAGCTGAACGAAGCATGGTCAAACCAATGATCAGAATAGAACAGCAAGATTATCACAAGCAGGATGGCAGGTACCAAAAATACTTCTTTAAATTTTGTGAGTAAAATTTACAGAACATTATTTTTAAATTAAAAAAAACACACAATAGGCAGGTTTGAGAAGGAACTTATATGTATTTTTATGGAGAAAACTAATACTTTGAAAGGTCTTTCCAAATAATAGGTTATATCTGTTATTAAGATACTAGTGGTTTTTTATTTTTATTTTACAGCCATTGCAAACCGTAGTGTGCTACAGGTTCTGTACTTTTTTTTTTTTTTTACTTGTTACAATTTGTTCATACTTATCTAACATCCTGCCTATGGAGTTTCTTTCTGGACAGTTCCTAACTCTTCTTGCATTTGAGGCCATATGGTGAAAGGGGAGCAAACAGCTTGTGTTCAGTTCTTAGTACTGGAACCATTGTCTTGGGGTGGTCAAGGTTTTACTTCTTTGGATCACAACTAATTTGAAATCCCAAAGTGCTTTTCAAAAGGCAACTGGACTTTTCTTGTTTATTTCCTTGAAAATGTTTTACTTCTCATCAAAGAAGCTTCTTCAGTTACTATGGCTTTCCGAACTGAAGCTTCTTGGATGAGAAATGAAATGTTTTCAGGGGAAAAACAAGAAAGTCCAGTTGTCTTTTGAAAAAGCATCTTTGACACAACTATGACGTAGATGATTGATCATTTCCATAAACAACTAATTTGAAACATTCCAGGTATGTTTGTTTTGCCACATGCTTGAAGCAACCTTTTTGGGGGTTGGGGGGCAGCCTACTTTTAAACCATGCTAAATCTAGTATTATGTGAGAAATTAATTAAAGTGGCAAACAATATTCAGCATTTAATATTTCTGTAAGTACTGTATTCACCTGCAGATTGTATTTCTGAAATCATTCAAAGCAAAAAATTTAAAAATAGACATCATAATCATATAATACCAGTATTTACTACTTTCAATGGCTCATAACATATTACTCAGCCAAATTAAAAGTGCTGACTTAATCTCCAAACCTTCATATTTTGAGATTCTTTCTCTTGTTTTCTATCCATACTACCTGAACCTTTACTTCTGGGTACTGCGGCATACTGAAATCTATCAGATGACTACTCTTGAATGAACTATCTGATCAACAACTCTCCTTTATGTAACACTTTTATAATATAGTTTATAAATTAACCTCTCGTTCACTTTTGTTTTCCCTAGTTATAAATTTAAGTAACATGATCTAATTACAGTAGATGACTAACTGTCTTGAACAATACATTGTGTGCTGCAAATGCATTAATAATGCAGACCTTCAATTCAAGTAGGCTTGCTGTCTTTTCAGCAAATGTAACCTCAGTGAATCTAATAGTAAGAGCAAGAAAGTAACAAGATATATTTCCCGCTCGCCAGTATTTTTGTATTTCATATCTATACAAAAAATGTATACAACCATAAAACAAAAACCTTTGGAAAAATCTTTATCTCTTGAAAATGAAATTAATTTGTTCTCTTTGAACTGGATTTCTGAAGATCTGCTTTCTGCCTCTAGACTTCAGGATGGTCCAGAATTGATACTACCTGCAAGTGTTGAATTCAGAGAAAACTGTAAGTATGTATTTTTGTTTAAAAAAATAAGAGTAACAACAACTTTTATTACAAAATGTTTTATTTTGATAATATTGAAAATAGAAATTGACTGTCTGCAGTAATGATATAAAAATAATAAATGTTTAAATTCATGCCTGTAAGCAAATTTCTGATTCCATATGATGTGAGATATAAAAACCAGTTTAAAAGTACTAGTTTTGTCCTGAGTTTTGTCAGAGCCCCCAGTTATTCGGATCTGCTTTAGTTAACAAGAATGAACTTTCTAATTTAAGTTAGGTCTACTGTGTTAAATATTTTAGAAAGCAGCAGCCCAAGAAAGATTAAATGGATTAATCTTCAGCCATTTTGCCAATGTTGCTAGTAGTGATCATGGGCATCAAATACTTGAGGCAAAATGCATGATTTTGACTATTTCATTAAGACAAGAATAACTCCAAATCCATGTATAAAATTAATCAGATATGTTACTAAATTACTTGCTATGTTTTAGGTTAATGGTGAGAAAATTCATTTAAATTATTGGCATAGACAGATAATAAAAATAATTATAAATAATAATTATAAATAATAATAAATCTGATACAGATTTATTAAACTCCTTTTTGCGTTTTGCTTTACTTGGCTGTTTACTATTTAATTTTCAGTAATTTAATCTTGTAAAAATATTTTGGTTTTAATGTTTGAATCATGAAAGTGATCCCAATAATTTAATTTGGGTTTTTTCCTGAAGTGGTGATTTACTATTGCTTCTTAGATTTTTCAATTAAAAATCTAAGCTTTTTTCCCTTTTTTGTTTTTGTTCTTCAGCTGAGGATGCTTTTTTGTCTGCCATCATCAATTACACCAATAGCTCAACAGTTCATTTTAAGCTATCGCCTACTTATGTTCTGTATATGACATGTCGGTATGTATTATCAAGCCAGTACAGACCTGACATCAGTCCCGCTGAACGAACTCACAAAGTCATTGCAATAGTCAACAAGATGGTGAAAATGATGGAAGGAGTTATACAAGTGAGTTTCAGTCTAAGAACCTACTAAATTTTTTACATCCACAAAAAAGACTGCTTTTGCAGGATTGTTTTTACCAAGTTGTATTTATATTAGAGATCATAAGCACAGTTTGTTTTGGATATCATAATTCCATTTGTAATTGTGTATGAAATAACTCTTGTGACCAAACTGCAGTCAGACATTTGTAATGAACCTACAAAAATATTGAAAATGTTTTTAAAAACAGTGATACTTCTTGATATGGAATGGTGAACAAGAGGTACAAATGATCTGTTATAGTGTTAATATTCATATGTTTTATTGGTAGATATCTAAAATCCATTTCAAATTATCTTAAAATTTTGTTTGAATTATCAGTATCGGTTCAGTTTTATGGAATATGATGTTAGTCATATTACAATCCTATCATATGTTGTATTCTGTCTTTTTAATGGAAGTTGCTGTGAATAAAACTCTGTTCGCAGATGTTTCTGCTGATAGCTGTGGGTGGGTAATACCCCAAAATGTGGGGGGGGGTTGTCATTCCTCTAGAAAAACTGCGTAGAAAGTTGGTGAGAAGATGAAAAGATGTGGGTGGCAGCGGTGGGGATGAGGTGAATTGTGAACTGTGTCCTTTTCTTCAGCAAGATTTCAGTCATGGGAAGATTATTTCTGTTTATGGAATGAACACTCTGGATCCAAATTATTATTCATCTTTGCAGGGACAATATATTATTATTCATAATAATTATAATTAAATATGGCAAGCTTTTAAATATAAAGTGGTGCTTTATATAAAGTGAGCATCACTCAATTTTTTATATTCTGTGTCCAAATAAATTCCATTTATATGAACAACATATTCCTAGTTATGCAGCCAATTTATTAAGAGTTTCAATTTTCATTTTCTTTTAAATTGTCCTGTTTCTGTCTTCACATGTCTCCTGTTACTTTAATGATGCTGTAGATTTGAAGTATGATTCTGCAAGGACTAATGTGCAAAAACTGTTTAATAGAAGCCAGTAGAACACTTCTCACAGCAGGCTGCCATCTTATTTAGCAGGCATAGCTGCACTGCCTCATACTCTTTGAGGCAGGCATTGTGTGTATGTGTATGACTTTGAGTCAGTCTTTGACTTCTTGTGATTGTCTGAACTAGTTCCTGCTGGTCTTTTATGCATAGTTTTAAAACATAGGTAACATTATTTTTGCATAATAGTGACCTATAATTATTGTTTCAATAATTTTATTAAGAATGGTATTATACATATAAAACTAATACAAGAAACTAATATAAAAAGTAAGAAAAAGAAACTCCCTCGTTTATCCCCAGTAAGTATATTCAAATTAATAACTTATCATTATTTTATGACATACAACCAAGTACATTTCTATTTTCTCCTGAAAAATTTAGATTGCATGAATCCCACAGGAAAACAAGTTTGTTAGCTCAGGGGCTATAGCACTAAAGACCTTTTATTAAAAAAAAAAAACCTATAGTGGTCAAAAATGAAAAAAAAATGAATATCACAAATATTCGATTAAACAAAATTATATTAAACAAAAGAGCTTTACTGTGAAGCAGAACCACTTGTAAAAGAAAACTACAAATGGGGCCTGTTCAGTTTGGTCACTTAATTGGCAGCATTTTTCATTAACCAAAAGACTAATATTTTATTTTATGATTGGCTTGGTATGTAATTTTGTTTTTTAAAATTGTATCTACAATGATGGATTATGGGGGACCCATTCTAATATGAGTACAACAATCCTTTAAAATCCTATTAAATAAATCCTGCCCATTCCTCTCATTTGTTGCTGAGCAAAAATATTGTTCCTTTTTTGCTTTCCATTCTCTTCTCTTTCCTTGCCTGATTGAAACTTCTTTTGCCTAGGAGGGAAATGTTGTTTGTTGTCTTAAGTTCCTACCCAGCGGACACTATTGTAGGGTGGATCAACCTGTCCCATCTTAGCCACCTCTTTCCCTTTCTTGCACAATTTCAGTTTCATTCTCTCCCCCCCACCCCCCCCCAGTGATTTGTATTGCTTGATAGGAGATTCTTTCACAAAATAACAATGTACAGTGGGGCAAAAAAGTATTTAGTCAGCCACCAATTGTGCAAATTCTCCCACTTAAAAAGATGAGAGAGGCCTGTAATTGTCATCATAGGTACTCCTCAACTATGAGAGACAAAATGAGAAAACAAATCCAGACAATCACATTGTCTGATTTGGAAAGAATTTATTTGCAAATTATGGTGGAAAATAAGTATTTGGTCAATATCAAAAGTTCATCTCAATACTTTGTTATATTTCCTTTGTTGGCAATGACAGAGGTCAAACGTTTTCTGTAAGTCTTCACAAGGTTGGCACACAGTGTTGCTGGTATGTTGGCCCATTCCTCCATGCAAATCTCCTCTAAAGCAGTGATGTTTTGGGGCTGTCGCTGGGCAACACGGACTTTCAACTCCCTCCAAAGGTTTTCTACGGGGTTGAGATCTGGAAACTGGCTAGGCCACTCCAGGACCTTGAAATGCTTCTTATGAAGCCACTCCTACGAAGCCACTCTTTTGTTGCCCGGGCGGTGTGTTTGGGATCATTGTCATGCTGAAAGACCCAGCCACGTTTCATCTTCAATGCCCTTGCTGATGGAAGGAGATTTGCACTCAAAATCTCACGATACATGACCCCATTCATTCTTTCCTGTACACGGATCAGTCGTCCTGGTCCCTTTGCCGAGAAACAGCCCCAAAGCATGATGTTGCCACCCCCATGCTTCACAGTAGGTATGGTGTTCTTTGGATGCAACTCAGCATTCTCTCTCCTCCAAACACGACGAGTTGTGTTTCTACCAAACAGTTCTACTTTGGTTTCATCTGACCATATGACATTCTCCCAATCCTCTTCTGGATCATCCAAATGCTCTCTAGCAAACTTCAGACGGGCCCGGACATGTACTGGCTTAAGCAGGGGGACACGTCTGGCACTGCAGGATCTGAGTCCCTGGCGGCGTAGTGTGTTACTGATGGTAGCCTTTGTTACGTTGGTCCCAGCTCTCTGCAGGTCATTCACTAGGTCCCCCTGTGTGGTTCTGGGATTTTTGCTCACTGTTCTTGTGATCATTTTGACCCCACGGGATGAGATCTTGCGTGGAGCCCCAGATCGAGGGAGATTATCAGTGGTCTTGTATGTCTTCCATTTTCTAATTATTGGTCCCACAGTTGATTTCTTCACACCAAGCTGCTTGCCTGTTGCAGATTCAGTCTTCCCAGCCTGGTGCAGGTCTACAATTTTGTTTCTGGTGTCCTTCGACAGCTCTTTGGTTTTCACCATAGTGGAGTTTGGAGTGTGACTGTTTGAGGTTGTGGACAGGTGTCTTTTATACTGATAACAAGTTCAAACAGGTGCCATTAATACAGGTAATGAGTGGAGGACAGAGGAGCCTCTTAAAGAAGAAGTTACAGGTCTGTGAGAGCCAGAAATCTTGCTTGTTTGTAGGTGACCAAATACTTATTTTCCACCATAATTTGCAAATAAATTCTTTCCAAATCAGACAATGTGATTGTCTGGATTTGTTTTCTCATTTTGTCTCTCATAGTTGAGGTCTACCTATGATGACAATTAAAGGCCTCTCTCATCTTTTTAAGTGGAAGAACTTGCACAATTGGTGGCTGACTAAATACTTTTTTGCCCCACTGTATGTGTAGCCTTGGCTGACCAGAGCCCACTTGGCTAGGAAGCCTGTCAACTGAGGCCAAGGTGAGCTGCTAAGCCATTGCCCCTCCTCTTCCTGCAGCACTTCCCATGGCTTACCCTGAATATTTGTGCGGTGTAAGTCTCTGATCTTGCTGTGAAGCATTGTTTCAGTGGTCTGGAAGCAATATTTGGAGGCATAGCAAATGACTTTCAGTGAGAAAAAATAAGTGAGACGATAAACAAATAATACAAGAGTGACTTAGGAACTCCTGGATTCAAAGGCTAGAGAAACAAAAAGTATAAAGTTTTGAACAAATGCATTATTTTGTTTTGCAGAGGTTTTCTTTTCTTTTCTCTAACAATACTGTTACTAACTGTTTTGGCTAGCGTGGTGAAGAATTGCCAAGATAGAAGACTTTACTGGCTTCCATGGACAGATTTAGACATTATTCCATGCAGGATTGTACCATTGGTATTAATGCATATATATAGATTGGCTGGAGGAAAAACTTGGACTTCCTCTAAAAAGTTTTGTGTGTGTGTGTGTGTGTGTGTGTGTGTGTGTGTGTGTGTGTATATATCTTTTAATTTCTCAGTTATATCATGTTCCCCCAGTGAAATGTTTTAATGTGACTGAGCATAAGTCTTGTGCTTTCATATTTTAGTGTTTCATTTCTAAAATTGTCATGATTGTTCACAAGTTTCTTTCTTCTGTTTGATTTCCTTCGTTTTTCTCCAGGAGGTAGACCAGGTTGATCAGGTAGGATATATTGCTGGGAACTGATCCTAGCTATGTTGGCTTAGCTCAGTTTCTCATGCTGCTTCCATGTAAAATACAATATTTCTACAGCTGGATTGAACATAACACTCATTCAGCAACTGGAACATGCAGTACTAAAATCCTTTTTTGACTGCGCAGCCTATCAGCATTTCATAATTTCTGCTTAACGCACTTCAGTACAGAGATGTAATGACAAAAGTTCTTTTCCTTCCTTTTTTGTTTATTTTGTCTGTGGTTCTGTTCTTTGGATCTCATCTGAGGTTGCCTGGCCTAGCATTTGTGGTCGGGAAAGGGTGAGATAGATCAGTACTTGATACTGCTTGGTGTCAAAGCCAGTGACTAGGCAGTATCTGGGTGACAGTGTGTATTAATGAATGTGTGCTCACACACATACAGATTACCAGATAATGCATACATCTAAGCTTTCAACATTTCATGACAACATGCTAAGTCCATTTCATTAACAGCATTTGGAAAATTTAATATTTTATCATTCAACTTGCAATTTAAAGCAGTTGTAACAGGCACTATATATTATTTGCAGTTTCATATAAATTCTTTGCAAGTATCTGGTAACTGAGATATGTTTGGTTATTAGTTGGTACTGGTCTATCTAACAGAGCCTTTGACAGAATGAAAGCTGAAATACAGAATGAATTTATGTTGATGTTTACAGCCCTTTTTCAATATTTGCAGAAACAGAAGAATATTGCTGGGGCACTTGCTTTTTGGATGGCAAATGCATCTGAGTTGCTAAACTTTATTAAGCAGGATCGAGACTTAAGTCGAATCACATTAGATGCACAAGATGTTTTGGCACACCTAGTTCAGATGGCATTTAAGTAAGGAAAACTAATTTATGCTTGGGGATCCATTTTTATTTTTCTTAATGAGCAGTTGTTTATTCTGATTGAATTCTAAATCTGTTTGGAAACGAAGTAATGTGTGTTTCTAAAAGTGTAAATGTTCTGATATGTATTCTTTTTATTTTTTAAAATATTGTTATAGATATGGCATAATTACTATATTTATTCTGAAAAACTATAAATTGTTCTATGGTTATAAAAGAAACATTCAGTTTGGAACCCTAAGGAATGTTCAGGAATATTGGATTAGCATTGTATTTCAAAATTAAGGTAACTCCCCCCCAAGACAACCTGAAATTTAAGATACCTTCCCATCCCCCTAAAAGAAAAATCAGAAAAAATGTTAAATATATGAAATTCCTATACACTGTCCACCTTTCCTAACTTGTTAAATAGGAAAATCAATCAGTGATTCCCCCCACAAAAATAGTAGTGCCATAAAATAATTAATTTGAGATACTGGTTAAATTTTTATAAGCTTGTGATGGCCAAATTTTAATATGTTAATTCAATTTTAGTGCCAGAATATTTCTATTTCTTGGAAATAATATAGCAGATATTTCACAACTTGTGTGTGTGTAGGCTACACATACACATTCAATATAGGTGCATGTATATGTAGGTTACTAGTATACTTGTTTGAAAATAAATACCATGGAACAGTGATGGCTAAGCTTTTTGCCGTCACGTGCCAAAAGCAAGAGCGTGTGTGTGTGTGTGTCACATGCGTACGTGCTCACACCCATGATTCAATGCCCCATGCTATGCCCCCCGCGCATGCACACATGCTCCCTGCGCATGTACGCACAAGCCCCCCGTGCCCCGTTTTTGGCCTAGCAGGCCTACTTGAAGCCTCCGGAGGCCGGAAATGACCCATTTCCAGACTTCCGGTAGGTCCATTTTTCGCCCTCCCCAGGCTCCAGAGGCTTTCCTAGAGCCTGGGGAGGGCGAAAACAGCCTCTCCACCCCCCCGGAGGCCCTCCAGAAGCCGAAAACACACTCCCAGAGCCTCCCTACAAGCCCTGTACTTACCTGGCATCCAAAAATGGCTGCGTGGAGACTCCTGGGAGGGGTGGCGTGGGAGGGGTCAGCCAAAAATCAGCGTGCTGGCACATGCATGCATGCTGGAGCTGAGCTAGGGCAACAGCTCTCATGCCCGTAAATATGGCTCTGCGTGCCACCTGTGGTACGCATCCCATAGGTTTGCCATCACGGCCATAGAACAATGGGACTTATTTTTGAGTTGGTACCTATAGGGAACATCTGGGAGATCTAGATTTTCTGTGTTTTTAATGAAATTATTTTTCATAGCACTACAAGCTTGAACTTATTTGCCTACTATTCACCAGTTTCACACCATTTATTTGTTCAGGTACTTGGTCCACTGTCTTCAGTCAGAGCTTAATAACTACATGCCTGCATTCCTTGATGATCCAGAAGAGAATAATCCTCAAAGACCTAAAATAGGTTAGAATATGTTATGTTATATTAATTATAATGTATGTTATCTTAACAAGACTGTGATAGCATAATGAGCATATGTTAGGAAACCCTGCTGAGTATATTCATGCGCAGTAAGAAATATTTTATTTACCTATAAATAAAGACATCTATTTATTTAGGGAACTTGGTCACCTACTGAAAACCAGGTCATCCATTACATTATTGTTTGTGTGATATTAGAATGTATTTGTTAATGTAAGTACATACATTTACCTGTGGAGGTGTAAATGAATATTATAATTATGCTCTAATAGGGTCTTATAGTAAAGTCATATGTAACCTCATTGTGGACAAATGATACTTTACATAAACCTCAATGGTTTATATTATTTTACTAAAACTGTAATAGTGGAATACTAAAATACTATTGAGTAAGATTTAGATGGTAGCATTACTAAAAAAAATGTGTAAAGTTTAAAAGAAACTCAGTTAAAGTTCGACAGGATGGAATGCCCAAGAGTACAGTTTTGGAATACCCAACAATAAAACTATATTGGGAAGCAATAACTATAAATCACCAGTGGATTCCTTAATTATCTTGTTTGTGGTTTAAATAGGGAAACATGTGGCCTTTAATTTATTATCGATTGTAGTTGCAAATAAGAAAAAGACTGCTGTTCCCCTGTTTACATACTGTTTATGTTACAACTAAGGTAACAGAATTGGCGGCTTGCCAATAATACAATAGTAATAAGCAACCACTTGTTTTTGTTTCTGAGAGAGAGAGAGAGGCAGGGAAAGCAGTAAAGGGTTAAAATAATAAAAACTTATTTTTATCCATATCAATATATTTGTATTAATTATATATTGCATAATATATATTAATATTAAGAGTTTATAATATAATGTGATATATTATAAAGTAATGTAAGGTGTTCAGTGCTATCTTTTTGTAATAAAGAGTTCCATTTAGACATTAGCTTTTGTTATTAACATAGATGCATAGTTCCATTTTGAATTTATTGCCGAGTAAAATGTCATGTACAACTTTTTCCTTGTAGATGATGTCTTGCATACATTAACTGGAGCCATGTCCCTGTTGCGACGATGTAGAGTGAATGCAGCACTGACAATACAGCTCTTCTCTCAGCTATTTCATTTTATCAACATGTGGCTTTTTAACAGATTGGTTACTGATCCAGATTCAGGACTGTGTTCACATTATTGGGGAGCTATTATTCGTCAACAGTTGGGTCATATAGAAGCCTGGGCAGAAAAACAGGGTTTGGAGCTGGCTGCTGATTGTCATCTCAGTCGGATAGTACAAGTAGGTATTTGAGTATATTAGAAAAAAATAAATTCGCAGTCTTTTGAGACACATAGATCGAGTTGTATAAGACAGTAATTTTAATAAACAGCTTTAGGAAATTAGGAAATCCCCATATTATTCAATTCTGCGATATTATTGACCCAGTTTCTGTACCATAATCTGTGGTGAAAATTCTTAATTGGATGGGAATGCTTAAGCACTATTTAATTGTGGATCTAATTCTTATGAGTAGATTTCAGAATGTGCTATTTAATGTTCAGTCTATATAGTATATGGGATTCTATAGTGTTTAGTTTGTGCCTGATGCTTGCCTTTGTATATCCAGAAATGTGTTTAAGTATGGCTGGTGTTTCTGTGCAGTTTTAAAGGGCTGCTCTGAAAAGTTGATAAATCTAGTAAATTTCATAATGTTACTAATTTTAGGTTCTTCTACACTAGACAGTTTTAGGCCTTGGATTGTACTTCATACTCTATTTTATACTATATTTCCATTTTATTGTGCAAAAGCTATGCTGATTCTAAATTGGTGTATGCCTTTGGTAATAGGTTGGATAAGTCTACATAGCATACTTTGTGACAACATATTATTTAGTACTATTTCAAATTATTTTGTAATATTTTATAATATTTAATATTATGTTGTATAAGGATTCATGCCTTGGGGAAGGGGTTGGACTAGAAAACCTCTAAGGTCCCTTCCAGCCCTGTGGTTTATGATTCTATTTTACTACAGAGTTCTGTGGTTCTGTATGCAAACAGCATGAAACGATTTCTGACAAAGGCCCTTCTTTCTTTCTGCAACTGTCACTTTTAAGTTATGGATGGAAATTTCTGGGGGCATTGTTTTTCTTCTTTTTCCTCCCAAGTGGAGCTTTCTTGATATTTTTCTGTTACTGCAGAAATTTGCATCAGAGCTAGAATTTTTGAACAGTATAACCAAATCCTTCTGGCTTCTTGATACATGCACAGTACGCAGATAAAATAGTTTCCTTGCTTGTATTTTAGTGTCACAGGATGGCGGCTATCTGATACCTTACTGACACAGATGTAGGAGCCATTATAACCTAGGCAGGGTTATAATTAACCCTGCCTAGGCAAAATTTTCTGTATTTCTTGACAGTCAGAATTCAAAGAAAGACACATTCTTGGTTGTTGCTAAAGTGAATGTTTTGATGCCCTCTTCATATTTCTTTGAAGAATGTGGGAACTTTTGATAAAGGAAAATAAAGAGATCTTGCTATTTAGCAAACGGGCCTGGATAGCTCTGCAGACTAAGCACTGTAATTTAACACCAGCTGTCTGCAATTAAAGTAAGTTCGAATCTTGCCAGGCTCAAGGTTGACTCAGCCTTCCATCCTTTCTAAGGTAGGTAAATTGAGGACCCAGTTTGTGGGGGCAATAAGCTGACTTTGTATAAAATATACAAAAGTATGAAGGCTATTGCTTAACGCACTGTAAGCCACCTTGAGTCTCCGGAGAAGGGCGGCATATAAATCAAATTTTTTTAAAAAAAGGGAAATCATGCAGCACAATTTTCAATGTAAATGCATGTGAATACAATATTAGTGCAGAGTCACTTTGAAGACCTTTTCCTGTTGAGTTCGTCTTCTGGCAACCAGAAAGGCATATGGTAATCTCAAGTTCTATTTATTGTTCCATATATCTTTAATAAATGATAAGATGAGATGCTGTACAGCCAAGTGCCAGCCTCAAACATACTTAGTTTTAAAAATGTCTCTTGACCTCTTGTGGCCCTCATAAATGATGAGATCTGTCACTTTTGGGTGTTTTATTTTATTGACTATTTATTTAAATAGTCATTTGATGTATATGTTGTTTATTACAATCATATTTACATTCATATTTTGTGAACCACTTTCATTAACAAGCCTTTGGATGAAAAGAGAATTTTTTAAAATCATAAATGTGAACTCTGTGCAAAGTTGGAGTTACTTGTTTTATAAGAATTTCCTTGAAACAGTTTTCAGTATAAATTTGCCTGGAAACTTTCCATAGAAATGTGGTGATACACTATTTTAATTTAGCTTGGAATGAATATATACTGTACATCTTGTAGTTCATTCCTAAACAAACCCAAATGGTGGGGAACAAACAAAACTCCAGCATGTTTGGTGATTAGGCTTGTAATGTGTAATGTTAAACCAATCCATGACAAGACAAAATCAAGCTATATTTTAAGTTTGTCCAGTGATTATGGTATGCTGACTGATTGAAGAAAAAAAATGAGACAAAGCATAATCCAAAATGAAAATTGCACTGTTTCAATATTTTCCTGATGAACTTAAGTAGTACTAAATCAGAATCATTTATCTATGTTGTAGTGTTCACTGCTACCATATAATATCAAAATGGATCCACTTATAATTATCTTTTTTTTCAGGCAACTACATTACTTACTATGGATAAGTATTCTCCTGAAGACATTCCTAATATTAATAGTACCTGTTTTAAACTCAATTCTTTACAACTGCATGCATTGCTACAAAACTATCACTGTGCCCCAGATGAGCCATTTATCCCACCAGTAAGTTAATTTTATTTTTAAATTTGGGGTAGGTGGGTGATTGAAAGGCATTCAATATAAGTTTATGTAATACAGTAGAAATTATATGGCAGTGAATGAAAACATTTTTACTTAAGGAAGCTAATAATAATGTTGAAAACATAATTTTTAATTAGTGGGGTTTTTTTATTCTGTGCATGGTACTTTTTTTTTTTTTACAAAGAATATATAGGTAGGTCTCACTGCAATTGGGGTTGGCAATTCTGTCACTAAGTGGTGCGGATGTTAAATGAAATGTCATGAGATGTTACTGACTTAAGACATCAATGCCACCTGCTGTCAGTAAGCCAATCGCCATGGGTCATTAAGTGCACTGTCATCTGATCACAAGTTGTGACTTCCTGCCGGCTTCCCCACTGACTTTGCTTGTTGGGAGCCGGCTGTGAAGGTCACAAATGATAATCGTGTGATTGAAGGATGCTGCAAACATTGTAAATGTGGATTGCTTGCCAATTGTCCAAATAGTAATTGTGACCTCAGGGATGCTGCAGTGGCCACAACATTAAGGGAAAGTCATAAATCTACCTTTTTACTGTCGTCGTAGCTTTGAACAGGCACTGAACAGGTGGTCAGTAAGTGAAGCCTACCCGTAAAATAAATCTAAATGCTTGTCTCTGAATTATGTATTCACCATGGTACATTTTAAAAGGTCAGAAACCTTTTAAATATGTACAAAATTAAGAGCTATTTGGGCAGATGTTCCAGAGCAACTGTTACATCCAACCTGAATGTATATTCTGTGCTAAGTAAAGACGTCTCCATAGTCATGTTATTTATTATTCTAGTTCTGCTAGCTTTTGTTGATTAGATGGCTACTCAGAAGATATTATGGTTCTCAGATTTGGGATTTTATCTCCTATGTAATGATCCAATGCATATTTTTGGCTTGTATTTCCTGACACTGATACCTCACTTAACAACCATTTGTTCAGTTGTTGTTTGAAGTTGCAATGGCATCGAACAAATTGAGAGTTATGAACAGTCCTCAAAGTTAAAGCCATTGCCACGCCCCTGTGGTCACAGGATTACTGTCAGGAGATGCGTGGGGTCCTCACCAGACAACAGTGCAGTTCTGGTGTAACAACTGCAGCCAGGACTACTGGAGTTGCCATCACTAAATTATACAGTCACCTGATATTTTGCCTAACAACTGCTTCAATAACAATGAAAATTCTGATCCCAAGGGTCATTAAGCAAAGGCTATCTGTATTTAGCTTATCCGTTTCCTTGAACAATCACTAGAACAGTGATTATAGTCTAAATGTTTTCTTCCTGATATTTAATATTCCTGAAATATATCTTACCAAATAAATTCTTCTTCTTAACCGAACAATGAATATCTGCATTGGTCCCTGAATCAATTAATAACATGACTAACTCCAGGCAGCAAAAAATGTAGAATTCCCTTGCCTTGATTTCCATGTATAATGCTGCATATTTTTCCTCTTTCCACCAGGAGTTAATAGAAAATGTGGTAGCTGTTGCAGAAAATACTGCTGACGAACTAGCTCGTAGTGATGGTAGAGAAGTACAGTTAGAAGAGGACCCTGATCTTCAGCTTCCTTTTCTTCTCCCAGAAGATGGTTACTCATGTGATGTTGTCCGAAACATTCCAAATGGATTACAGGAATTTTTAGATCCACTCTGCCAAAGAGGTTAGCTTTTTTAAAGGTTTGCATTTATGTAGAAATTACATGTCAGCCCTCCCAGGTAAACCAGACAGGAAACATGACTAAATGAGAGCTAAATCTACTTTATTTAAAGGCTACACTAACAGAACCTTGCACGTCTGAAGGAACAAACTTTCCACCATCACTTTTAACAGTCTAGTCAATTATGGCAGGCTCTTCCTAAGTTTCTTTCCCTGACCATTAAGCAATTGCAGACTCCTTCCCCTCTTGTCTGAATGTTTCCTAGGCAGCATCTCTTTATCTCGTCCCCATCAGTCATCCACACATTCCATTACCCAATCTGTTTTAGTGCAATAATTGTTTTATGTCATCTTGAGGCCCATCTTTATATAGTTTTAGTTTTTTGTCCTAGTTAATGGCCACAATAAAGTAATTTATTTATACTTTTAGTTTGTTTTGTCCAGTATTCTTATTACTCTGTTGTACACCACCCAGAATCTATGGTTTGGTGTAGTTTATAATAACTGCAATTAAATAAATGTATTTACCAAATTGATGCCCAATATATTTTTTTTAGTAATGAATCCTTTATGGAGTAAGTTTTTGGAGGTCTCTCTGGTGTTCTAATTAACTTATTCGAGCATAAAGAAAGTCTTGTTATCCATTAACATTTTCATTTAGCTTTTTGCAGGTTAACACCTCATCCACGCTCACCAGGAACTTGGACAATATATTTTGAAGGTGCAGATTATGAGAGCCATCTGTTACAAGATAATGCAGATTTGGCAAGTATTCATATTACAGGAAAGACAACAGAAATAGATACATTAAACTATGCAATGAAATATGAGATTTGTACTAATTTGAAAATATTTAAGAATTAGAATGTAGGATTCCCCAACTTTTTCTTACAGTGGAAAAAAAAAGCATTCCCTTAATAAGTCATTGTTGCTTTTTTTGTTACCCTTTAATATTGGAATAATTAAGATAGCAGGATAACGTCAATGTTTTTTTAAAAAATCAAAAGTATTTCTCAGGAAGCGCTCTAGCCGGTTCTCAATATTTTCTCTTTATTTTGTTTCATCAGGCTCAGCCACTGAGGAAGGAACCTGAAATAATTACTGTAACATTAAAGAAACAAAACGGGATGGGACTAAGCATAGTTGCTGCTAAGGTACAAAATGATTTATTGATATGAAACTTGTTATTTGAAGTGATAACAATAGATCGTTTGTCACTTAATATGAATAAATATTGGAAGCAGTCACTGAGTTACAGGAAGTTTAAAAAACTTGTTTGATTAGGGTTATTTGTTTTTAAAGTTTTCACTAATGCTGGTATAGCAACTATTTCATTTTTTGGATAGCTGCTCTTTCACTACACATGAGAGACATGAGGGTGTCTCTTCTTTATCTTAATAAGGAGGCTGGCTGGTATGGGAGCAGGTGGTGATGTGTCCATGATATTTCTTGCTTTTTAAAGATAAAAGGCAATGCAATCTCACTAGACTTTTCTGTTAGACGTAACTGAAATGTGATAGTATGAGAGAAACAGGGCATTTCCCATATGGAAAAATAAGTGCCATTTATTGTATGGCATATTTTTTTTCCACATGAGCATAGCCTTTCTTAATCCTGAGATACTTGCAGACCAGCTTGTTCTTTACCACACCGAGGACTAAAGGTAGAATCGCAAAAGCTGAAAATCAGTTAAAGATGCAAAATGGCTGTTCGGGTGAATGGGCACATACTTGGGCTTCCCAAGATTCCATGTGTCTAAGCTCAACACAACAGGATTGTTTGGATACTTGGTTAAGATCAACACTTTTTTCTCACAAACAAATATCTGTTTTGTCTTTCTTCTTTCCACTGCCCCTAGCTTTTGAATTAGAGACAGTTTTTGTTGATGTCGCAGCTGGTCAATTTAGCTAAAACATGAATGGATGATTATAGATTAGAACCCCCCCCCCCAAAAAAAATAAAATAAAATCAGGAAGAATACAACAAACTAGTTACATATTGTTGTCAAGAAAACCACATGAATGTGTTCGTGAAATCAGGTTGTATTCAATTTACTAGAGGCTTTATTTTTAATGTATCTCATTGGCTATACATCTATATTGTCCAAGAAAGAAAGGCTTGCTTGTTGATTTTCAAGTTTGTAGCAACCTGAGTGTAATCTAAAGTAAATTCTTGATTAAACAGTTTTCACCCAGCAGATGGTGCACTGCTCCAGTATTGAAAAATACTAAATGCATGTAACTAAAAATAAAGCACCCCCCCCCCGCAATGCAATGTGCTGTTTGAAACTTCATTTTTTTAGATTAGTCTGTAAATGTATTTTTATTTATGGGACCATATCCTAAGTTTTATGTATATAATGTTTAGCTCCCAGAGAAAAGATGGGATATAAATCTAATAAGGAATGAAATAAATAGCAAATGAACAAATGAAATTTCCTGTTATTGATTTTTAAGGAAGAGTTCACATGGATGTTGGTCTGATATTTATTTCTCTTAAACAGTATGTAAATAATTTCTAAATGTTATTCTGGCAGTGATATTGTTCCACTGAAGTGAATTTGCTGTTTTTTGTCTCAAAAACTATTGATTCACTGAACATTTTGCATTAAGATGCAAACAGAACACTTTGTTAGGTTATCTCTGACTTCTAGGAATGTTTGGTTTTGAAGAGTTCCTAGCGTAATTTATTAACAAGTGAACAATTTCACTAGCCTTTTTGAAGCAAAAGAAAAATTAGCTTGTAGAATGAGACAGTGGAACAATTTATAAGTTTAATATATTATTCTGTTCTAGGCTTCCTAAAATTTCTATTAATCTGATCACATTGATTAATGTCTGTATATTTATCAAGAAGCAGGTTTTGGGAAAGAATCAACAGGGAGCCAGGACTGTTTTTCTCTTGTAGCCAAAATTCCTCTAATAGTGAATTAAAACTTAAAGTAACATTAATAGACGAGAAGTACATTTTTCTTGTATAATTTTAATAGGATTAATGTGTAATCATCTTAAGTATTTTAAATGCTTCTTAAATGTTCTGTAATAAAGAGTTGATAAATATCAAGTCTTTCTGCTAAAGAGATGGTACTTTTAGGTGCTATTATCTAAAATCAAAGAAGAAAATTGCAAAGGGATGTCATTGGTCTTAATATATGCATTTTAGCAATTGAGGAATATCTGGCAATTTGAAGTTGTTGACTTTATGCCTTGTCATCGACTAACCAAATGCAAATTGTTGGCTGCTCTTTAAAACAAATGTCTGAACTAAATTTTTAATCAATTCAATCACTACATCACTTTCATGTTTGGAATAGTGAGATCCACTGACTTCACTGCTAAAGAAGACTATACTTCTAATTCATAATATTCCTGAAATAACTACAATACCCAATCACCTTTTAGTTAATAGGGGATTAACTGAAGCTGTCATTAACAGTGAATGACAAAGATGTGGTATTGGATCAAATGTCTAAAAGGCCAGCTATGTTTCTGTTAGTATATTGTTTACAACATTGGCATTCTATATGAGCATAGCTATTCTGAGCTGAAGGACAATAGTTATAATTCCAGTCTGTTCTGAGTGATTTCCTACTGCTGCTGTGATGATTCCAGTGGCAAACTAGTTGCTGACACTTAGGTGGTTGCTTACCCATAATAGTACCAAGAAGCACACTTTGGGTGGCAGAAATTGGCTTATTGGGGTTCAGGGATAATAATGCTCTGAGAGTGAGGGCAAAATTTAGTAGTATTATGTCTAAAATATGTTTTGATGTTAAATGCTGCTTAGCTTCCAACCACACTATGGTTACATTTTATGAAATCCAGATGAGTTGGAAGCAGTGTGTGCAGGCAGTTTACTTTAGAAATATATCACTTGGAGGAGGAGGGAGGGAGGGGAGGAGCTAGCATTTGATTTCTTCAAATCTGAGAGCCAGCACTTTACTTCCTGTTTAATTTGGATTTTCTATATCTTGTACAATAGAGTGATTGATTTTTTTCTAGGCAGTATCTTTTTAATAAACTTTTAAATGAAAATCAGAGTAGCAAAGCTGTGTGTGAGTTGGACTATTATATCAATCGTAGCTAGTGTTGATAGATGTTATGCAGCATCAGTTCCTGGCCAAATTATCCTGCTGGGTGTTTTGGAAAATCTAGCAGACTGAAAGTTGTGGTTAAAGTCTAAGAAACAAGTGAGGAGTTATATTTACTGGAGTTACAATGTGGTTTTCAGTCGTTGGAAGAACAGAATCCTTGGTAAGTCTCTACAGGGAATGTTTCCCTATAAACTTATAGTTTTAATATTCTTCCTAATCTTCCATTTAATCCAAAATTGTTTGGCAAATGAATTTGGAGCACTGCTTTTATAATATTACTATCTATTTGAAGCCATGGCATTAAAAAAGCAAATGAATAGTACATAATTAACGGACTTTGCAAATGTTCCCATTTCATAAATTTTCATCTAAGTAAAATAAATGTTGGCATCATTTGATTCTGATGTTAGAAAGCAAAGGTATTTTAAAATGTCTTAACAGGTTACTTAATAGATTGACAATAACCAATTTTATCTGATCACATTTGCTATTCTTTGTTTTCAGTTGCTTTTACAAAGAAAGAGTAAAGAAAAAATAAAAAAATCAGTTTAAAATGATTGAAATTGTAAAGAAAAGCAGGGGGAAAATTCAATGGGAAACTTGAAAATTATTTTATATTAAATAATCTTTAAAAAGCCAAACAAAAAGGCTTAACCTTATCTATGCTGTGTGTGTGTGTGTGTGTGTATAAATGTCTATCTGTCTCCATGTGTATTTTTATGTATGGAACACTATAACTAGGAAATAGCATAATGTTAGGCATGCTTATTTGTAGGCATGTGTATGTATACCTACAATAATTGTGTTTAATATTCACAGCTGAAGCCCTATTTTTATTCCAATTCATAAAAAAGTTACAATTGCACTTGACTTCTAAACCTTCCCTCTTTTTAAAGTGCTTGGTCACATTTGATTTTTTTAAATCCTGAGATTTGTTTTACTTTTCCTTTCAACTTGTCTTACTCAAAATTTTCAGTTAATATTATATTCTGTTTAGTAGCCTCTCTCAAATAATATATAGAAGCTGGAAATACAGTATCTAATCACTTGTTTTTTTTATCTCAGAGATAAGTATAAGTAACCATTGTACACACACTTGGGGAAAGCAGATAAATTCATTAGATAGAAATAAGGCTTTCCTCAAAATTTGTAACACAACCACTCACCAGAGGGAGGAGGCAGGCCATTTTCACTGGAATTGCTTCCTTTGCACTCCCTTGCATCATCTAAAAACTACTATTACTGTACAGAATATTAGGAAGAAATAGGAAATTAATAAAATGACATCTAATAAAAGAATCTTTACCATTTATAAGGAGCTATTATGAATCTTTTTATTTTATTATGTTTTGGGATACATCAGGACTTTATAAAACTAGTGGAGTTATAACTTTTTCTAGTTTAGTTCTGGAGGGAGTAATTTTTAAAAACCCTTTGAACTGATTTCTTTGTTGTCAGATTGCTGAGTGTTCATGAAAATATTTTTTTTTCATTGCAATATTAGAACATTCCTCTGGCTATTAGCCTACAAGTAGAAATTTCTACTTATGAGTATTAACCTTGTTCTTCTCTGACCACTCCACTGCAACTGAGTTAAACAAAGTTTACCCTGCAATATTTCCAATGAAAGGGATAAGGCTGTTACATGCTAAGCTTGTGCAATATTATACTTTGGATTTGATGACAAAAATCATTTTGTAGCATGCAGAGGTGCTCATATACTTGCCTTATCAGCAACTCTTTAAAGTACTGTGAGCTTTACTAGGATTGTTGTGATGCACCACTCTTCAAATACAAAATGCTATCTATTTCTAATAAAGTACTGCAAAGATATTCTTCACTGATCTTCAAAGAATGCTTCAGGGAACTCTTTTCCCCTTATATGCTTATTAAATACAGAGTTTTGTGTAATTCTGTAGAATCATTATTATACTTACCTGAAATGTCAAAATGTTTAAGGAAAGTAAAATCACATTCCTATTGAACATTATTTTAAATGAAATGTGAATTTTAGTTAGGAACATTGTTGGAAACATGTACATAGGTTGTCAAAAAGTTCCTTAGACTGTCCAGGAAGTAAGTGTTTGCATTGGCCTCTACTGGAGCAAGGAGCAACTCTATTGCAAATGCTACTGCTTGCACCCCAGCTTCTGTAAAGGAAATTTCTCATACTTGATGTCTGTAACCAAAAGAATAAAAAATACAGTACAGTTAGATGCCAAAGGTCTGAATTAAGAGCAGGTAATCCTGTTGGCTACATGATCATGGAAATATCTTGGACAACATTGGCTCCCTCAGCTAAGAAATGGAGATGAACACTGCTTCCTAGAGTTGGACATGACTGGACAGGGGAAACCTTTACCTTTTCTTTTAGGAATAATTTAACTCCAACTTTATAGACTGACTTCCAGATATGCAATTTCTTCCATTCCAGTCTGAGATACAAAAACAACAATAGTGGCTATCCTTGTTAGAATTCTTAAAAGTCTTTAAAATGCTTTATAAGTATGGTAGTTGAGATAGTTTTATTACTGACACTTAGGTGATGCATAAGATGATGGTAAATTCTATAGAAGTATGTAAAATATTGCTGGAAGGAAAATAACTCTCCAGAGGTTGCTAGCTTTAATTCCCACCATCACTCATTGTTAAGCAATGCTACTTATTTTGCTTTGTTGCTAAAAATGTGTTGTCTTCTGTAGTGTGTTATAGTAAATGCATTATATTCTATAATACATTTGTAGTTAAATATATTTCCTAAGGTTGCTACAACTCTTTAAAAACTTATATTGTAATCCATTGTATGGATATTTGTAAATAAGAGAATCTAAATCAGTTAGACCACTCTCCTATAAAATGTCCTTATGATTTAGCATTTTTTTTTTAAAAAAAATTGCTTTATATCTTTTTAGGGTGCTGGTCAAGATAAACTTGGCATCTATGTCAAATCTGTGGTAAAAGGTGGCGCTGCAGATGTGGTTAGTATTATTTGTAATTATTGTAAAAAATTGTTTATTTGGTGTTTTAATTTCAAATATTTCTAAACAGCATGAAATCTGTTTTCATGTCATATGAAATAATGTAACTCTTACTTTGTCAAATATGTAACCAGGATGGTCGATTGGCTGCAGGGGATCAGTTGCTTAGTGTGGATGGGCGCAGTTTGGTTGGACTTTCTCAAGAAAGGTATATCATGCTCTCTGGAAATTGTAAACATAGCAGATATTTGTACATTATGTAAGACAGGTGTGACTTGTTTGTTTTCTGTATTTTTTCTTCTTACCTATTTTATGTTTCTCCATCATAGCTCAATATAACGGCTGAAATGCATCATTTTCACCCAGAACACTTTTAGTATAGATCTATATGGTGGGGCCTAGGACAACTTGCCACAGCCATTTTGTTGTGCCCATCTTGCTGCGGCCAACTCACCACGGGCCAACTCGCCACAGCTAACTCCATGTGGGATAACTCAATGCATAAATGTTATCCACCACTGTTTCTTTGACATATTTCCATGAAGTAATGTCAAAGAAACAGTAGAGGGATAACATTTATGGTATTAAGTTATCTCATGTGGAATTGCCTGCAGCAAGTTATTCTGCGGCGACTTGGCCGCAACGAGTTGGCTACAGTGAGATGGCTATGAAGTGGCTGCAGTGAATTGTCCCATTCCATATATGGTGGTCCTTAAAAGTTTGTTAACCCTTTTGATTTTTCAAATTATACTTCTTCATTTATTTATTATGGAAAATGGTCCAAAGCTACATATTTGCATCTGACAGAAGTATTTGGGCAGCAACTTACTGTTTCCAGTGTCTTTTAATCACCTTAACCACTGCATTAAGATTCCAATAGAATTTGCTGGTACATTTCAAAATTTATATTCCATCAATGATGGCAAGCCATCCCTGTCCAGAGGTAGCAAAGCAGGCTTAAACTGCTTTGATACTGCCACTATGTTTTACACATGGAGTAAAAATTCTTACGCTGGAATACAATGTTTATCTTTTGCCAAACATAATGCTTTTTATTTAAGCCAAAAAGTTCTGTTTTGGTCTCATTCATCCATAGAACATACTTCCAATAGCTTGTCGTGTCTTTCACAAACTGTAGGTAAGTAGCAGTGTTCTTTTTTGAGAATAGTGACACCTTTGCAACACTGCCATTCACACTATTGTTGTTCAGTGACTCATAGGACTTGAGTGGGAATACAAAGTCATAGGTCATATTTATGAAGAAATAATTAAACAGCAAAAGGGTTCACAAAGTTTTAAGCACCATTGTAGCTTGCAGTATTTCTGGAAGTTGTAAAAAGTGTGAAGCCATAACTACTCTCAGATCTGTCCATCTGTTGAGTAAGAGATAATATAATTGCATAATATACTTGAGCATTGTATTGCAGATTGTAGTATCACTATTAGAATTTTAAGGAGAATTAAACAACTTGTGATTTATTGGATCATTGTTTCATTTCCTTACCTGACAAAGAGAACAGAATGACCACATGTGGGCAAAAATACAGAGGGAATGGGATCAACTTCTGACTTCCTGTCAACTTCCCCATTGATATTCCTTGTGGGAAGCTGGCAATGAGCATCAGAAATTTCCTTTCCCTTCCCTTCCCTTATGAAGCAGCATTTAGCACAATTTAAGGTTCCAAACAGATACAAACATTTTAGTAGTATATAAATAAGTTCTTTTTACTGGGTTGTGAAAAAGATATGGCATAATCCACTTGTTTTACTATGATATTCCTTACAGAACCCAAAGGGCCTCACTAGAACTCAAACGTTGTGCCAAAAAATCAGTTCTTGTTCCTAATATGCAAATATTATTGTTTATATATGAGTCTTAGGCACATAATTATGGGAAATAAAAAAAATAACATTTGATTTCAGGTGGTTTGTACCCAAATCAAATATTAGAATATTTTATTTAGATATGGAATGGAACAGGGCTTTTCTGTTTCAATTGTACACCAAACTGCAGTTGTTTCAGGCAGAATTTTTGGGGCCGAAGGGAAGAGAACAGAAAAATGTCAAAAGCATCAGTAACTATAGTTGAAGGCAGACAGGAAAGAGAAGGAGACAGGAAAGAGGGAAGATCAAGAGATGCACAGGATAGTGAAATATTCTAAGCAACAGAAGTGAGAGAAAGTATGCTTTGTACTTACTTGCTAAAATTATTCCAGGGTCCTTGGAAGTTTTACTTTGGCCAAAACCCAAAGCGAGAAGAACATTCTGATCCCCCCCCCCCCCCCGCTAAACTTAAACAGATAGAAATTATTTGCTAAAATGACAAAATTGTTTGCTAGGATTTGATATGTTTCTTTTCTATTTTGTAAATGGTTCTATTGGATTCCCATAAATAGTTTATTTATATTCACTGTGTACATTTTTCTACTGACTAAATGCTTTGAATTTGCTCTATAATAGTTTCTTACTACTGGTTCTTGCAAACTCACCATTATATTTCCAAATCGTACTCAGAGCCGCAGAACTGATGACAAGAACAGGAACAGTAGTCACACTAGAAGTGGCAAAACAAGGAGCAATTTACCATGGTTTAGCAACACTGTTAAATCAACCATCTCCAATGATGCAAAGAGGTAAACAACTAAAATACATTTGTCCACATATAAAATCTACATTAAAAATTAGTATAAAAATAAGGCATATTCAAGTACCTAGTATGTGATCTGATATGCTAATTGCTCTCTCCTTCAAGAGGGCTAAATGTAAAGACCCAGTTAAGTTCTGCTCTAAGCAACATGGAATTGGCTTGCCACCCCCTTTTTCTAAGATGTTTTTTCAACACTCCAGATTAGCGTACTACTGTAGAATTTTCCAGTGGTCTCCATTTGGTACAAACAAGTTTTAAAATCCTGGAAAGCTTTTTCAGGATTAACCTGCTACTACCTGCTTTTGAACATCCATGGCAGGACTTGCAAGTATTACTTTGCAAGCGTCTTATTGTTTACTTTTAAAATCTTACTGAATTCAATGGGATGCTTAGTCTTAATTCAATGGGATGTTTAGCATTCCACATAGGATTGCCCTCTTAACTGAGTGGGATTTATATCCTTAGAATAATATCAACACTCCTTTCTCAATTTGTTGTTTTTAAAGGGGAATTATAATTATTTGATGAAAAAGTAGAGATTTGTGTTGTAAAGCAATTTGAATGTTAAGAGGTTTTATATAAAGATGTCTGTTTTTTCTAATGATATTATTTGGCATATGTAAAATTAGTCTGAAGACAAATCTGTGTAATCTGCTACTGTTGGTGAGTTTTAGCTGTTCTTGAAACTCTCAAGCAATGATGTTTTCCAACTATAGAACATGTTTATAATTTTAGTAGAGAAACTAGGAATATAACCTGGCGCATTATGAAGGTAATATAGACTGGAGAACGTCAAGAGCATTCCATTTGAGTTCTATAGGACCAGGAAATGCAAGCAAATTTGCAGCTAATTTTTTTTTTTGTCTGCCTGACTCTACTTACATGAATTTTGCTTTTTGAAACTGCACATATGAAGAAGGTTAAAGGAGAATTTAAAAATGGGGTCTCTTAGCTTCATTGCAGACCAGAAGAATTATTATGTCTTTGTCTCTCTCTCTCTCTCTTTCTCTCTCTTTTTTTTTCTCTCTCTCACACACACATTCATTGTTCAGTTTCAGATCGTCGTGGCTCAGGTAAACCCCGACCAAAGAGTGAAGGTTTTGAGCTATATAACAATTCTGCTCAGAATGGATCACCTGAAAGCCCTCAGCTGCCTTGGACAGAATATAATGAACCAAAGAAATTACCAGGGGATGATAGACTGCTGAAGAATCGAGCTGATCACCGATCTAGTCCCAATGTAGCAAGTAAGCAAGCACCAGCTTACAACTGTTTCTGTGAATTAACACTTGAAATAAGTCTAAACATTGGAATTTATATAACTAATTATCATATAAATTAAATTAGTAAAAATGAAATTTATTTTCTTATTAATTATTTAAATAATTGTATTAATTATTTAAATTATTTAAATAATCTGTATGGCTGCATCAGTCAAACACTGACCCTGGATAGTGCATTGGTATTCCCAGTATGCTAGACTCGGGAACAAATTTAGATGAATAATTACATTCATACCCCCCCCCCCCCCACACACACAGGAACTCAAAGCCCAAGGAAAAAATTCCAAATTTTACTACCCTTCTGAAGACTGACAGGGTGAGAGCCAGCCACATCTTATGTTCCAAAGGGTTGGCACCACACCACCCTTATACTGTTCCAAAGGGTTGGCACCACAATGGAAAACATCGCTGAAGAAGAGCTAATAAGTCCTGTGGGCCTTGTTTGAATGTTGATTTTGCATTTGTTAATGTTTAAATCTCCTTGCTCTCAATAGATCAGCCTCCAAGTCCTGGGACCAAAAAGGCTTATACTGGAGGAACTACAAATAAGATAACTTCAGTGTCTACCGGAAATCTTTGCACAGAGGTTAGAAATAGTGAAAAAAACTTTACCTGTGAATATTTATAAAAATGCTTGATATTATTTTTGACATCTATAAATGATCTTTTCATATTTACACAGGAACAGATACTACCAGCTAGACCTGAAGCATATCCAATTCCAACACAAACTTATACCAGAGAGTATTTCACATTCCCAGCCTCCAGGTCTCAGGATCGAATGGGTCCTGTTCAGAATCAATGGGCAAGTTATGAAGAAAAGCCCCAAATTCCCGCTGAAAGTAATCACTATATCAATAATGCAAATCAGGTTAGAAATAATTTGCTTCATCATATTAGTAGTTTGGTGATTGTAGATAGAATAAGAATTATGATAACTAGGACTGGTCTAGCATTAAGTTGTTGTATATTTTATTATATTTTACTATCCCTAAAATATAGTATTTGGACAGCTTCTAGACTAGAATCCTGCACTCACTTATATTGTGTTTTAAATCTGTGTTTGAAAAGCTGTCAATTTATATTTGGAGTTGATGGTTGAAATGCAGAAATCTTGATACTTTTTTTTTAAAAAAATCACATTTAGAGCTTTTGAGAAAAAACTGCTGTATAGGAAGAGTATATTAATTTTTACAAAGTATAGAATATCTGGTTTATATTTGTTTTCTTTTACTAATGTACCAAGACATTACTAATCTGTCAATGAATTTTAATGTGTGCATTGTATTCAATGCTTTTGGGCTAATAGAGCATAAGAAATGCATTCATTGAAAACAAAGCATTTTTGGTCATAATTAAGGTCTTTGAAAGAGAAGTACAGAAATGTTGCTTTTGTTCATAGCTGCCAGCTCTTCTATCTGGTCTGTTTTGTATTTAAAATAAATTGTAGAAGTACACAGCAAAGTTTGTGAAGCTTATAAACAGATTAGAAGTTTTCAGGTATGTGGTATATTATTATTACATTTCTATACAGCAGTTTTATTTTGTATTTAATACTGCAGAAACTTCGCAATTAGCAGCACAGTATCTTTTGACATTGGAGCACTTAATAAGGAATTAATACTTCATTTAAATAATTTTCAGCATTGCAGAAGGTAAAAAAAAACGAATAGGAGATTAACAATAAGGCGGGATGAACAAATAGTTCTTTTTGCAATATTGGTATGTGTTCTATGTGTGTATGTAATTTTAATAAAAGTTGCCAAAGTAGTGGGAGGAATGACTGGTTAGTTATTCAGGTAAACTCTTAGACCTAAATATTTCTGGGAGCACAAGCTGTAAAAGTGATAATAGTTTCGCATTATTCTGAGGAAAAGTATACAGCATGGATTCTGCTGATGTTGAACATATGCCAAGAGAGTTTCAAAATCTTGTCTCAGGCTGTTTTACAGTTTATTTAACTTGATTGGGGAAAAAAAGCTGAACGTAGGGCTTCAAACTTGTAATGTATTACCACTTGTTAAAATGCTGATTTTAAGAACAAGTGAGTAAGCATTTCATAATCATTGTTCAAAGATAATAAGCTGCCATTTAGTTCTTGCTTAATGGCCTATTAATATGTGGAAACTAATGTTATATTCTTTATTTTTTTTAAGCGTGTAACACGTTCTCAAGAGGAATTACGGGATGATAACATTTATCAGGCAGAAAGGAATCAATTAGAAGTTGCCATGCAAAAAGATATGGAATATATTGATAGAAAATCAGATAGCGATCCATGGATGAATTCTTCTGTGGACTCTAGCACGTCAAGCCAGGAGCATCTAAACAGTTCCTCTAAATGTATGCCCTCTGGATCTTCTTTAACCAAAAGTGGACCTGGCCGCTGGAAAACACCTATAATTACTCAACCAATGTTGCTGGCAGTTTCTCAGTCCACAAGGACAGACCTACCTCCCCCTCCCCCTCCCCCACCAATGCATTATGCAGCTGACTTTGACGGACTGCAAATGGATTTACCTCTCCCACCACCACCTCCACCTGCAAATCAGTTGGGGTCACAGTCATCTCAGGTTGCTGCTGCTGCAGAACGCAAAAAGAGAGAAGAACATCAGAGATGGTATGAAAAGGAAAAAGCACGCTTGGAGGAAGAACGAGATAGAAAACGTCGAGAGCAGGAAAGAAAACTGGGGCAAATGCGTGCTCAGCCACTAATGCCAGCTCAATCATTGCTTCCCCCTCTTCAGCAGGTGAAACCAGAGAAGCCTTCAACACTTCAGAGGTCTCATGAGACGGTCATTAGAGAATTGCAGCCCCAACAACAACCCCGAACCATTGAACGAAGAGATCTCCAATATATCACCATAAGTAAAGAAGAGCTGTCCTCTAGTGATAGTCTGTCCCCTGATCCCTGGAAAAGAGATGCTAAAGAGAAGCTGGAGAAGCAGCAGCAGATGCATATTGTGGATATGCTAAGCAAAGAGATTCAAGAACTTCAAAATAAGCCAGATCGAACAGGTGAAGAAAATGACCGCCTGCGCAAGCTCATGCTGGAGTGGCAGTTCCAGAAACGACTTCAAGAGTCAAAGCAAAAAGATGAGGATGAAGATGAGGAAGAAGATGATGACATTGATACTATGCTGATTATGCAACGACTAGAAGCTGAGAGAAGAGTGAGGGTAAAATGAGAGAATCCATTTAAAAATGCATTTCATGGGCTAAAATTCCTGCATATTGCTAGCAGAAATATAAATTAGTTATCACTATAGGATAAAGGAGGACTGGACTCTCATAATGTCCCTGTCTTTCATTGCATATAATGAAGTTGACTACTCTGATTTGTCAAATAAGTGGTGTTGTAAGCTATTACCTAGAAATTGCTAGGGGGAGGTAACCTTTCGAGTTCCCTTTTTTCAAAAACAAAATCCCTATTCTTATTTTTTTATAATTTTAATTTCTATGATACATATGTAATATGCCAGAACATTAGTGTAGTTTTTTAATCTTTGACCACTAAAAGCTGTTTTATCTGTTAGTCCATAGCATAACAGGATTTGGAATGTTCATTCCAAGAGTAATGTCTTTATCAGGAAAAATAGCTCTTTAGTAAATTTGCTTGTAAGAATACAGCTTCAAAAACAATTCCATACTTTTTTTAAAAAAAATGTAGAATCTGTATTAAGGACTATATAAATAACATTGATAAATGATCAAATTATAACAGCAGCTTGATTTCAGCAACTTGGGTGTTATTTTTTTACAGCAATTGCTTTCTACGCTATGCTTCTTTTCCTGTTTTTAAAAGCTTTACTTTCCATTGCTGCTTTTAATGCATTTTCTTGCTAAATGCATAGCTTTGTTTTTTGTTTTGTTTTGTTTTTTCTTTTCTATACTGAAAATTAGGTAGATAAAATGAATGTAACAACTATCCATGAAATTGTTGCTAGTTCTAATGTTGGCATTCAGCTTTTTAATCTAACTTTTTAATCTTTTTAATCTATGGATAAAAATCTACATACTATATAATTTTAAAGCATTTCATCTTCATTATTGAGCAGCTTGACATTACTATTATCAAATTTGCACCATATACTTTGTTAAACTCTTTTTCTAAATAGTTGCAAAATATATCTTGTATTTGTTTTGCAGAGTTTTAGAACTCCCATTAGATCTGCTCCTTATTAATGGTAAATTTAAAATAATATAACCAGTTGGCCATTTTCCCACAATACTCTGTTCTCTTGATATCATGTAAATCTTTAAGCACAAATAGATGAATTAACAGAGTGTACAGAAAATATTTTTTTTACAAATCTCCTTTTCTGATTTATATTGAGAGATTTGCTAACAATATTAGACTGTCACACTGACTTTTATTTTTATTCAGCTGTAGTAACAAATCAAAGAAAATGATTTTGGCATAGTGCAATCTAAATTTATCCTTATTTTCACTGTGCATCTTTCTTTTTCCTTCTCTTATTACCTGCAGCAGACTGCTTTGCCAGCAATCTCTGTTCTAGATTTGGTATGTTCTTATTTCTTTCTCTTCGATGCCTTTCCTTAATACTTTTTTTTCTTTTTCTTTTTAATTAATGCTAATCCAATGTGCATTGGATATTTGTTTATCTTTAGAGTGCTTCAGGGCAAGGACTAATACATTAAATTAGTGGTAAGCAAGAGACACTTACCTAATGCTTGAGGAATGCTAATTTTTTTCTCCTACTTTTCTTTTAAAGTTGTATTGTGTTTGCATATTTTACTTGTGAACTACACAGTTAAATGAACCATATATTAACAATTTAACATATATCAGTAGTTTGAAAACATTTTGTACAGGTGAGTTTCCATTATTCATTTCCCCATGCAAAATCTTCCCTAAATCATATATTTTAATGTATTTTAGCATTCCAATAGATTATTTGTCTTCTTATTCAAGCTTTTGATAATTTGGCATTTACAGTTAGGTTTAATGATTTGGTTTTTGGAATAGAACTCTAGGGTTAAACCTTTGAATTTAAATGATTTAAAATATTTTTACAAAAAATTATTTCACACTCATTGCTGTTACCTTATTGATGGAAGACTAGTATTTTATTTTACACTAAAAGTATCAAAATATATAAGAATAGTTTTATAATAATTTCATGATATGTTTTAGCTATTTTATTAACTGTGAAATCAAAATAAGATGTATTGTACTGATCAGTTTTATTAACCTATTATTATGACAAAGGTGTTAAAGGAATCAGATCTAAGTAAATAGTGCAATATTCAATTTCCCTTTCTTAAAACTAATCATTTTGTGTATTAAACTGCAAATCATAGATATTACAATTCAACAACGTAAAGAGTTTTCGGTATCTAATTCATACTTGCTGAACTCAATATATTTAAAAGTGCAGTTGGTTCATGACATGAGAAACCTATCAAATGCAATTATAATTAAAGATTTTACCTCCTTCCCTTTCATAAAAAATACTAATTTTGATTCCCCTCCCCCCCTTTAAAATAACACCACTTGGTGCAATGCTTGGAATTACAGTATAATTTTAGCTATTTTAAAAAGTGTGGGACAGAGTCCAGTAGTTCTCCTTTATTCTTTTGTAACACTTCTTCTCACAGGTGTTTAAAGGAGATGATAGTCATTTGTTGAGGAACACTTTTCTGAAACTGTTTAAGATGTTTGATAATTTAAGATTATGTGAACTAGCCAGAGATCCTTATTTAATGTGATTAAATATTTGCACTTTGAAGCATGGATTTTCATTACTTTTCCTATTTTACAGAGATTCCAAATGATTCTTTGCAGTAAAAAACATTACTATATGAAAAAAAGAAATCATAGGCAGCTTAAGTAGCTGATATGTTGGGTTTACTGTCAAGATCAGAGGAATGTTATCTAATGGGAAAAGAATAGAAGCTTATCATTGACCATAGTTTGTGCATCTTCCCAGAAGAACCATGGTAAAATAGAGTTTGAACTATAAAAACAATGTCTAGAACAGAAATGCCTACAAAATCTATAGCATGGGTGTCCAACTTTTTAGCTTGCCTGGGCTGCATTGAAAGAAGAGGAACTGTCTTAACTGCATATAAAATATACAATATAGTTAATGTATATAAATCACATAAGGTTAAAATTTACAATCTTGTGGGGCCACATTACTAGCTGTTCAGGTTCGCATGCAGTCCATGGGCCACAGGTTGGACACTCCTGAGGAATAGCATTTCTTCAGGGTAAATACATTTCCTTTTTGAATTTCCTTTATAAGTTTTTTTTTCCCAAAATGCAAAAAAAAAAAAAAAAATCCCAAGAGAAAATAATTATTAATTAGCTTTAAAAAAGGTTCTTTTGAATAGTAATAGATATTTTTCTTCATGGAATATTATTTCTGTCTTTGAAAGGATCTGAGGTAAAACACAAGATAAATCTTCATTAGTTACAGGATGAGGAGCGCAGACGGCAGCAGCAATTGGAGGAAATGCGCAAACGGGAAGCAGAAGATAGGGCCAGGCAAGAAGAAGAGCGTCGTCGCCAAGAGGAGGAGCGGACAAAGCGAGAGGCTGAGCAAAAGGTTTCATTCAGTCTTCTATAACTTTGTATATTTCACTTAAATTGGTTTGACCTGCTGGTATTATTAAGTCTTCAGCAAAACTAGGGATAGAATCGTCTGCAGCGGGTTTTGTGACTCTTAATATGTACTGTATTGAATTCTGTACACTACTTAAAATATAAAGCCAAGCTGACCCTGTTTGTAGATATGCAATTTAAGGAAAAGAAAAATATATTTCATTATTCTTCAAGAGTCTTTGAGAAGCAGGCAATATATAAACTACCATATTTTTCGGAGTATAAGACGCACCTTTCCCCCCCCCTAAAAGGGGCTGAAAATTTGGGTGCATCTTATACTCCGAATGTAGCTTTTTCGAAGCTTTTTTTCAGCCCTAACGTATTAACAAGGCACTAGCCAGCAATCTTCCTAGCTTTGCCTGCTCCCTCGACTCTCCGCTGTGTGAGTGAAGCGAGCTCCATGCTTTGCTCCAACTCTCAGCTGTTCTTTAGAAGCTTTTTTTCAGCCCTAACTAGGCGCTAGCCGAGTAAAGCGATCACCCCCACCCCCACCCCTGCTTTGCCTGCTTTTCTCATTGCTGCTTCTTCTCAGCTGTGACTTAGAAGCTGTTTTTTATCCCCAAGCAGGGGATAAAAACCCAGCAAACTAATGTGCTGAAGCTGACCAGACTAAGGACGCTAGCCAGATGAATACCTGGTAGGCAGAGGGTTTTTTTTCCTATTTTCCTCCCCAAAAACTAAACTACGTCTTATACTCTGGTGCGTCTTATACTCCGAAAAATACGGTAGTAAATGAAATCCAAATAAAATGCAAGATATAGGAAGCTGGGAGAGTACAAGAAAAATGTAAAGATCTCGGATATTAAACATAACAAAAGAAATTCAAAATGAAATCCCCTCCAGTAAGTCTAAAGGGATAAAATTATTTTTAAAGCAATAAGAATAAAGTTATAAGTTTTGAAATCCTATTTTAAAAAAGGTAGAAAGAAAATGTCAGATTTAGTACTATGAGGCATTTAATTCAGAAGAAACCATATCTAATTAAACAATGGCACTAAGTGGGTTTAAATAAGTGGGATTCATTAAACAGAGGGGAATGGATAGACAGTGGTCTGATCATGAGATGTTTTGGTTGTCAGGAAAAATTTTAAACATGAAGGAATCCCAAGAAAAATATTAGCATATAATATTAATTGTAGTTCATCTTCCTACCACCATTGTTAATTTTCCATGTCCCTCCCACTTCAAAAATATATGATATTGTGTGATACCATTCTAATGATTGAAATCTTATCCATTTGTTCCAAATGATAAATATTTGAAAAAAATTGAAAGCTTAATATTAATGAATGAAACTATGGTTAGGCAACATACTGAACTTCATTATCCTTCAGACTCCCTACCAGTATTCTTTTAAATTAAAGAAAAGTAAGGAAGTGACATTGTTTGAAAATAAAAAAATGGAATTGCTTGTGTTTTGTATGGAAGTAGACTACTGGCTACCAAGAAAGGCAAAGGTAAGCAGGGCTGGGAAATGTTTTTTTTTCCTCTTAGAGGTAATAATGGAGAACAACTTCTTCATTCTGGTAAATGGACATCCTATGTCTAGTCATGGGCACTGTAGCTTCAGTTTTTTCAGGGTGGTCGCTATCTTAAATGTCCTTTATGGCTTAAAAATATGCCTAGCCCTCTTAAGGAAAAAAAAATTGGATATAAGTCAAGCCATGGTTTAGGAATCAGTCTATAGGAGCGCTTCTTCAGTGGTGTCTGTCTTTGTGCATAAACTCCTATATCCCTTTTAAGGAAAGCAAAACAACAACAACAATAACAACAAAAAGACTATCATTATCTCTGCTCTGCATGTTTGGTAAAGTTACATGTAAAACTGACCTAAGCCTCACTCCTCCGTGCAACCCTTTCTGCATTGTATTTATAATGCCAAGCAGGGAGATGGGTGTACATTTTTTTTTTAATTTGATTTATATGCCTCCCTTCTCCGGAGACTCAGGGTGGCTTACAATGCGCTAAGCAATAGCCTTCATTCTTTTGTATATTTATACAAAGTCAGCTTATTGCCCCCACAAACTGGGTCCTCAATTTATCCACCTTAGAAAGTATGGAAGGCTGAGTCAACCTTGAGCCTTGGCGAGATTCGAACCTGCAGTAATTGCAGGCATCTGGTCTTAATAACCAGCTTAATAACAGGGTGCCTTAGACCACTGTACTACCAAGGCTCTTACATGAATTACATTCATGTAATTTCAGACATTAAACTGTAATTGAGAGTTTAATGCATCCTGGCACTCGGTACAAGAAGGTTTATGACGTTGTTGGTATTGAATATCCTTTGTTTTAATGGAAGCATACAGGTGGTCTTCGATTTACAACAGTTCATTTAGTGACTGTTCAAAGTTACAATGGCAGTGAAAAAAGTAACTTATGACCATTTTTCAGTTACAACCTTTGCAGCATCCCCATGATCACATGATCAAAATTTAAATGCTTGGCAACCGATTCATATTTATGACCGTCCCAAGGTCATATGATCACTTTTTGTGACCTGACAAGCAAAATCAATGGGAAGCCAGATCCACTTAACAACCAAGTTACAAACTTATTAACAGAGGCAAGAAAAGTCGTAAAATGGGGCAAAACTCACTTAACAAATGTCTCACTTAACAACAGAAATTTTGGGCTCAATTGTCGTTTGGGCTCAAGGACTACCTGTATTTCATTTGCAAGGTAGAATTTCACATTTCGTTTTTTCTATTCACTTTCTTTTTTCTTGATATTACTTGAAACTTCAATAATTTATTGCAAGTTTACGTTTTTCAATGTAAATATATACCTTATCACTGAACAGAATCCAAAGACGATTCTGTGGTTTCTTTGATGCTCTTTCAACCCTGAACCCTCAATTCAACCTGAGCCAGAAATATTCTCTTCTAAAGATGGCTCTGCTGACATCAAAACCAGGAAGGGTTCTGCTTGATTTCTTCCATTCTGTCCCACTCCTGCTCTCAAAGTCTACTTCATAGGTTCTCCTGCCTCTCAAGAGGCAATTGGAGAGAGTGGATTCCACCCAAAGTTCAGAAGTATTTATTTATTTATTATTATTTATTTATTAGGCTTATATGCCGCCCTATCTCCAACGGACTCAGGGCGGCTCACAACAATAAAACCACAATCCATAATGCAAGTTAAAATGCCTAATTAAATCAGATACAATTAAAAACCCGTAAAAAACCCCATCAGTCCAGGCCGGGGGACTCGAATAACCAAGTTTTTAATTCGCGGCAAAAGGTGCAAAGGTCAGGGGCCAGCCGAAGCCCCAGTTGATTCTAGAGGGTGGGCGCGCCCACAGAGAAGGCTCTACCCCTGGGGGCCGCCAGCCGACATTGTCTTGCCGACGGCACCCTGAGCAGGCCCTCTCTATGGGTGCGAACCGGGCGATGGGATGTTGTTGCTGGCAAACCAATTGGTAAACCAATGTTTTAGAGCAGGAAGTGTGACTTTCTTCCTTGATAAATGAAAAAGTTACCCAAATATTTTCCATTTCTGTGTTTGGTATTTGACATTTGCTAACATCCTTTTATTCCCTTTGGCTCAACAGAGGCGACAGGAAGAAGAATATTATAATCGCTTGGAAGCAGAGAGGCGCCGCCAGCATGATGAAGCAGAACGGCGATTGCTGGAGCCTGATGAGCCTGGTCTGTACAGACCTCCGCTTCCACGGGAATATGAATTTCCCTCCCCACCCCTTTCATCTAATGCTCCTCCTCCCCCACCTCAACGAAACACTTCTTACCTCAAAACTCAGGTCCTCTCTCCTGACACGATTTATACTGCCAAGTTTGTTGCATACAATGATGATGAGGAGGAGGACTCCTGTCTAGCAACAGGTCAGGATAAGTACACCAGTACAAGAAAATCTTGCGGTGACCTTCCTCCTGTCCCCCCTAAGCCACAGCAGCCCTCCCGCCAACCACGCCCAGTCTCAGATGGCCTCTGTCTGTCCAACTCATGCCAGCCCTCCGCTGTCAATGCCAACAGTACTGCTAACAAAATGAGCCAACCCCCTCCCCCACCACACAAGCCAAGTTTCATCAATCCCAGCAACACAAAAGGTAGACGGAATATTTTAATTTACAATCTCTCTGAAAACTCTACAAATTTCCCACTAAAGTACTCTTCTGAACAAAATCACTCTCATGATTCCTTCTTACTTGATCACAATCTTGGGCGTGGTGATCCAACTCTCAATCGGATTTGTTGCTATAAATTTTATTTTAAACCTGTGGTCTTTCCATTTCTTTATCAAATTCTAAAATTCTTACTTTCATATACTGAAAGCAAATGATTCTCAAAATTCCACTAAAAGTACTGTTGGGTTTGGCTTTTGATCTACACCTCTTTCATTCACTGTTTATTACTATTATTCATTGGTCCATGGTGCTTTCACATTTCTGAGGTACATGTTTTTCGCGATAAGGATATTTATTCACTGTGGGAAGCAGTGGGCTTTCTGCTTATTACTTGCCATGTAAATAGTGTGCAAAAGGCTTTGAAAGTATATAAACCAACGATTACATTTGAAGTGAAATGCTACCTGGGTGTATATTTTAGAAAAAGCAAACAAAGCAGATGGATATAGTATACTTTTTTATGAGGTTTCTACTACACATTGCTCAATACTGAAGTAACTTTCTCTTCATTATTCATGTTGTTTTGCTTTATCCTATTTACATTCCTCACTTTCTTCTTTCCCCTTCATTATAAAATATGTAACTGAATAATATTGGCCACAAGTAGTTCCACTAGAACTCCAATGTCAAAGCCTTAGGTTGTAGCTGGTTTATGCATTGACAAGATACAAGTAAAAGTCATATTTTTGGAAGAAGGTGGAGCATTAGTGAGTTTTGGGAAGTTTGCAAATATTTTGCAGCTGCTTGTTTTGTTTTGTAACTTAAGCAAAAAAAAGTTTAGTTTGACCCAGATTGTTGGGGACAATATGCTGATTCTAAACTGCTTAGAGAGGGCTGTAAAGCACTATGAAGCAGTATATAAGTCTAAGTGCTATTGCTAGTAATAATCAAAAATTCTCAAAATGGAGCTGGTAGTTTGATCCCAGCTTAAAGGAAGTTCCACAAATAGCTGTAGGATTTCCCTGTTTGATCAGTACCTTTTAAAGATAGTCAAGGAATCTATAAGAGACTATTGCTCTTTCTATAGTAAAACAAAGCAGTTAATAATGCTGCTGCTATTATAGTTAAGGTGAGAAACTTCAGAATTAACATTCACTTCCTAAATATAATGCTTCCCCAGGCAGTCACAAGAGACTTCTGCCAATAGATAAATTTTGCCAATCCTTATTTCATATTTTGGAAATGCTATATAATAAATATCTTTATAAAACAGTGTAATACGATATCACTGTTAAATAAACCCATAGCTGAATGACTGCACCCAGAAGTGCTTATTAGTTGCTCCACTTCAACTTGGAAGTATTTGAATGGCAGACTCCGTCCTGGGCCCCATTATGATCAACACTTTCAATAGTGACTTGGATGAGGATGCTGAAGGGACTCTTAAGAAAATTTGATGGTGACACAAATAGATGAGAAGCATCTAATACTTTAGATATAGGTGGGAAAAGTTTTAAAAAGGGTCTAGAAAGATTGAGCATTTTCCTGAAATGAGTAGATGAAATTTAACAGAAATTTCAAAATTCCTATTTCGCTAGGAAAAAATGCAAGGCATATTTGTACAAGCTGTCAGTTAGTGGAACAGGCTGTTACATGAAGACCTTCGCCAGAGGTCTTCAACTAGAAAGTAAATGGTTATCTGTCACATCTTGCACTGGGCAGAGGGTTGTACTAGATTATCCCCAAAGTCCCTTCCAACTATGATTCTGTGCTTCTGTACCTAATAATTCTTATTAAAATATATAAACAAGCTAAGGGTTGTTACTCAAAAATGCCATATAATTTGATGTTCATCTGACCTCCATATATGGTCTATTACATCCCATTATAACTATTTTAATATTTTTAAGTTTATAAACAGGTCACATATCCCATTTGAACCTTCAATCTTTTGTGAAGGATGTCTGCCTAAATAAAGTATTAAAGTAAAAAGCTCTTTGCACATAATGCAAAATCACTACGCAGCTTCTCTCTTCATCTCATTAACACTCATATTGCTGTCCTTAAACGAATGTATGGCAAACTCTGCTTCTGCAAAAGTAAACTTTCCCAGCTCCTTCCATTAGATTGTTGGGATTACTTTAGAAGACTGGCACTCCTCAATCTGGGAATAAAATGTGAGCAACTATAACTAATACTAATGTGGATAAGCTTCTATGTTTAGATTAACTTTTCAACATAAAAAAGATAAGCTTAAAATTGGACATGAAGCAAAATTAATTTCTAACCAACATATTATTAATATTCTGAGTAGATTCCTAGTGATTCCCTAGAAGTTTACCTCACTAAATTCAGTTTCACACTTAATTCACTAAATTCATAATCTCACTAAATTCTGTTGAGATTTCTTAGAAGTACCCATGCATTTAGTTTTCTTTAACTAATTGTTGGGCACCAGTCTGATATTAAATACAGCTTTATACTGCTGAAATCTGTAAAATATTTAAATTGAATAACTGAATAAAGACTACTAATGGAAGGAGTATATATATCTGCTTTTGTGAACAAGGCTTACAAGAAAAACACATGCAGTATTTAAAAACTAAAAATACTACTTGAAAACTCAAATGTTTTGTGGCCAGAAGAGATGGCTCTACTTAACCAGTACCAATAGCAGAAGTGAGAATCTATGAAATGTGGGGGATGAGTTGATATTTCAAATGCAAATGATGTGTTTAATCTTGTGGCCTTTGGGGAAGATTCATCGGTAGTGTAAAGAGTTTGCTGTTTTTGCTGTTGTGTTTGTTTACATGAGAGCGAAGTATAAAGGTGCAGTGCTGCAAAATGTATACAAAATAGACATTTTAAAAATTGCATTTCTAAATAGGCATTGTAGAGTTACAGATTCATTGTGGACTCTGCAGTTAAAAGAATATATTGGAAAGTTGTATAAAACTATATTCTCAAATTCTGCACATTCTTAATCTCTTATAAATCTATTCTTTGGGAAATATAAAGGCAAAAGTTCCTGATGTTACTGGATATGTTTTCATCTAGTCTTATAAACAGGAAGCTAATGCTTATTTTGCAATTATTCATGCAAACTGCTTAAATTTCATTTAAATCACTGGAATATTTGCAATCTGTATATGCAAGATTTGGCAAGCTTGGATATTTGTTTCATATATATTTGATTTCATTTATATTGTCCATGATGAAAAGTTGTCATTTGATAGAAATATTTGCCATTATATTCAGTTTTAAATATTTTTTCCCCTTTCTTATAAGGGAGCCGGTAGTGTTAGGAGACTAGACCTGAAAGTATAGAGTCAGATCCATTTAAAGCACTGCACCTTTTGAGAGAAAAAAAATAGTTATTGTTATTTTATTTTCTTTTTACAAAGGCTCAAACTACACTGGATCTACTGGAGCACTTGCAGGTTCACAGGAATCTTATTCAGACTCAAGAGAGAAGAAATTGAAAAGGTAAAATGGAAATAAGTTTGCTTTTAAATACTGCTTTATTTATATGTGATATACTTCTGGTTGATATTTAGGTAATTAAAGGTTTTTAAAGATCTACAATATTTTTAAACATAGCAATGCATCCAGTAAGAATATTTAGAAAAGTTTGAAATATTTTATAGTAATGATAGCCCTCGTAAGTGTCAGTATGGTGTACTGAGTAAAGTGTTAGATTGGGACAACAACTTTTAATTCATCTTTAACTTTAGAAGCTTTCTGGATAAGTTAGGGTAAGTCATTCTCTCTCTGTCTAGCCTAAATCATAGAAGAGAAGTGGTGAGAGGAAAAATAGGTGTTGTACTGTGCTTGCATGTAAATGCACACCAAACAAGAAGCTAAATGTTATATTAAAGCCAGTATATGTAATCTTGACATGTAGTTTATATGTAGAAATCCAGAAGCAAGCATTGGAGTCATCTTGAATGTGAACCCACCCTATATAAAATATTTTAGATTTCCTAATAGCTACACTAACGTTTCATTGGCATGTTAAACTAAGGTTTAACAAATGCTCTAATAGTATGAACTATTTAATGATGAAAAATGGCTATTTAATTATATGTCCATTTTTAATGTTTTTTTAATAATTAATTATCTGATTTTAAATAAAAGGGTGTGAATGTTGTAGACCAAGGCTAATTAGAAAAACAGAACAGCTGCACTTAAAATATAACGTATTTTTATAACATTGAATATTTTTTATATTTCCTGCAGTCAAGATACAGATATACCTGGTGCACCAGAGAACTTGACTTTCCGGGAGCGACAAAGACTCTTTTCCCAAGGTCAAGATGTGTCTAACAAAGTAAAGGCATCTAGGAAATTAACTGAATTGGAAAATGAATTAAATACAAAGTAGGATAACTGTCACCTTATCAAATAACCAGAAAATCTCTATGGAACTAGAATTGGGCAGTTCAAGGAGGAGGAGAATCTCATACCAAATGAGATATTTTTTTCCGTCTGGAGTATTTCTTTCTAAACTATATGTTGCAATAGCAAGAAAATCAATTATTTGCAAAGTGCTTGTGGTTTATACAATTGAGGCACTGTAAAATATATTTTAATTAAATAAATCAAGTGTCATGTCCTTTTCCACATCATTGTCCTTTAGCTGCTTTTGGAACTGTCTGGAATTGTTGCTTCCTAGTCTTTTACAAAACATGTAAACATCTGTTAAGCAGAAAGAGTGGCTGTAGCTTGAACTGCCTAACTACCACTGCTTGTTGCACTGTAGGTTTGATACAAGTGTAAGTTAATATAAACTTTTAAGAGATCTTGGGAGCTAGTCTTTCAGAATAGTAGCATAATAGTGAACACTAGTATTAGGAGTCCTAATAAGGATTTCTATAGATAAACTCCTGCTATGAACACACTTGATTAGAAGTAAAAGGGCTCCATTATTATGTCCATACTAAGCCACATAGATTATTCTATGTACATCTAGATTTTGGACATTAAATACTTGACTTGTTTTGATGGCAGTCCAGCAATGTAACAAGATATGCATCCTATTTTTCCCACTGTCTTATCTCTTCTTACACTGAAGTATTAATCACTTCTAAAACTTGAGTTTTGAAACATTGATAAGAATTTAAAAAATAAGTAATATTGGACACTGGGTATGGTGGTGTGTGCGTGTGTGCGTATGTATTGTTTTAAAGCTATTCTGAAATTTCACACTTTAGCAATATGGAATAAACTTCAAGTGGTAGCTCCATTGTAGCCAAGATAAAACCAAAGTTAAATATTCACAAATGGACTAAAGACGTCAATTATCAGTAGCAGCCAATTAAACACTACATACAGGGGAAATGTGATTACTTGTGGCTGCAAAAGGAAAGAAAAATTGCCTTTCAGTAAGAATTTCCTTTGAGGGAACCTGGCAATATTCTGATGGCATGTCATCAGACATTCGTATAGAAAAGTGCTGGTCAAGGTACCTCTAGTTAGCTATTGTTCTTTTTCTTTATATTGTAGAATTGTAGATGATGTTGGCAGTTCAAGCTATTTTACACACTATGTTGCAGGATTATTTAATTTTTAAATGGTTGAAATCTGTTTCACCCGCTGATCTTTCAGCTATATATATAGCTGATGTTAAGAATAAAGACCTCATCTTAGTTTTTTTCCGCATTGTGTGATGCTTAAAACAATATATTGTGATTCTAAACAAATTTTCTATTTGATAAAGTCCTTAATTGGGTTTTAGATGATTTTTCTGTATAATATGTTCTCTTATAAATATATATTTAGGGAATTATGCACACTTCCAAATGCAGAGGGTAGACTTTACTGCCTTAGAAATCACTTTTAATAAGAGTTGTATGATAAAAAAAATAAATGCAAGTTAATGATAAAATTGGAGTGTAAATATTTTTTTTACATAGTTCAGGTTTCTTATTTGAAAGTGTTCTTTTAATGTTCACCTGTTAAATATGAAGTAGGAGATTAAATTGGTTGAAAGTGTTAATGAAGGATTGCATGCTTGTTATGTCTGTTATTCAGGGAAAAAAGGAGGTGTCCCCCAATTTATCTTGAGAACACTAGATACTCTGTGGCTGGAATACTGTTGCTGCTAGAATTTAAGGAAAGAAATATTACTTACTGTGGAGTGGATTTGAACACTATTGGGCAGGGGCAGGCAACTATGGCAACTTTATGACCTGGGGATTTCAACTCTCAGAATTCCTGAGCCAGGAATTCTGGGAGTTGAAGTCCACAGGTAGTAAAGTTGCCATAGTTGTCCATACCTGCTTATTGGGCATTCAAGCCATGTGAATATGAATAAAAATGCTTTTCGTATCTATTGGTGCATTATGGAGAAAACAACATAAGAACTGCTGTGGTTTCCCATTTCTACTGTATTTCACTTGCAACCTATTTTTAATAAACTTTGTATTGTATTTAACTTTGCACTGTATAATGTCTGATCAGGAGTATTTGTTCATATTATTCAGACATATTTTCTGTTGCAATATTAACAATTGCTAGGAATTATAATCTGGGAGAATTAAACCCCAGTGTTTAATTCAAGCTATTGATTATTCTATGGATAATTTAAATTACAATCTATTTTTGTAGCTAAGGGTTTTATGAAATATTTGATTTCCAATGCACAGTCTTTATTAGAACTTCAGAGTTTCCTTTTGTACATGTTATTCCATCTAGACGCAAAATATGGCCAAGTATAAAAAAAGTAAATCACAATAAAGCCTTATTACTTAAATTACAACTAACAATTAATTTAAATACCTGTAAGACAATCCAAAATACATAGTACAAAGTATTCTATATAATGTATTGAACTTGGAATAACTAATAATGTTTCAGTAGTTCAAATATAGCTGTTTCATAATATTCAATAGCTACTGGAAGTAAATTAAAATTAAAAACCAAAAAACCAATACTTACATTTAACAAACAGCAATATAACATATGACTGCATATTTTAAACCATGCTTAATTTCTGGGAAGGTGGAAAAAAGCTTCTTTACTTCCCAGAATGTGTGTCTGAATGCTTCTGCAGGATAGCTCTCCTTACAGTAATTAATATCTGATGCATAAGTTACTATTCTTATCAAATTGAATTTTAAATAGTCTACATATCTGCTCCTGCTTCTTAAATGGGATTTTCAGTTTTCATGCTTCTGACTGTAATCATTTATGGTAGCACAGAAAATTAAGATAAAAATATGTTTAAAAAAAACAGTTGGAAACAGAAAAGAAATGGAGTTGTGTTTCTAATATACTTTATTTAGTACACTTAATTTAATGCAAGTAATGAATATCAACTTTTCTTAATTTTTCAAATTAGTAAACCCTATTGTAGATACAGTACATACCTTCCTACATATTGTAAAATGTTCATAATGTTATGCCTATTTTAAAAAGTTCAGAACTTTGTCTATTCTGTTTCTAGCTTCAAATTTAATGTTTGTTTTAGAGTTATATTTCTGATAGTGATTACTACTTGCTTCTTTACCACAACCAATATTTTATATACACAATACAAAGCTGCACTCCTTTCTAACGTTACAAACAGCAAATCCCAAATAATGTCTTCTCATTAAATTTCCCAACTAGATGAATTTTGTGGTGTATATATACATGTTTGGCCAGTCTATGTTCACAGTCATGGAAAAAAATCAGCTTGTACTGTATGTAACCTTAAATGCTTGACCTTTTAGTGATTTGCTTATAGGAAACAACAAATCACATATATTTATTGCTATAAAGTCCTTTGTGATATTACAGAAATTATGCAGCGGAATTTCTCAAGTCAGCCCTCAGAAGGTGATCGGGTTTTTTGTAACAAAACACTTGAAATAATCAGCTTCTTCAGGCATGTGAAAATCTTTTAAGAGCAGCTCTGGCCCTCAAAAAAATTGCCAAGTAATGTTTATGTACCAAAGCAGAAAATTATTAAATATATAGAACTACAGTGGATGTGGATGTGCGTATGAGTAACTGTATGCATGGCATATAGTGGCATACCTACAACTGTATTTAATGGCTATTTCCCACTTGCTGTAGAAAATTGTGGAATTTAACAGCATTTATACACATAAATTCATGTCCAAGGACAGTTATTCAAATCTAACCAAATGTCTCGTCAAGAGCCTGTCACCATTATTGGGAGTCCTATCTTAATAAGTTTGCAGCATGAACAATGCATTTGATCTCTTCAGTGACAACAGCAAATCCATGAGCTATAGCCCTAACCATTATGCCCTTAAGTATACAGAGGGAAACCCTGTGTTATTTAGGAATTTCCAATCTTTTTCAGCTAGTGAGTATACTTAGAATTTTACGAGGGTTTAGGGATATTGGGAAATTTAGAGCAGCACATATAAATTATCACTTCTATACAGATAATTTCAATGAGTTAGCATCTCTTATTAAAAACTTCAATACTATTAAGAATGCATTCTTGCCTTGTACCGTATGGTAGAGTTTGACAAAGTACCTACTTATGCTGCAAATAAGAAATACAGTAGTGGCTGTTGAATGTGTTCGTTGTATTGCAAGAGGGGATAACCACCACTGTGGATATGTGTATCAGTTTCTTGTGCACCTACCTCAATCTTGTGGCTTCCAGAATCCTGAGAGTGACCACTATGAAAATTTGGGGGAAATGCCAAGATGGAGAAATGAGATGGCTCCAATCAAGACCTATTGCGTATTTAGAAATAGACTTTAAAACTGCATTTCACTTCCTACTCGCTTATAATTTTGCTCTGTTGTGCCAGCTTGAAGGGGAGGTTAAGCTCAAAACCAAGCATTTTTTACCTTATTCTTCAGAGCCCTAGTGCTGGAGAAATGGATGGGCAAAGTTGATTCTTAGATTAAAAATAATTGTTTTCCTGCGGAGGGGGGGGTAGATTTCTTTCAGGAGAGTAAGTAGCTGGTCCATCGAATAAAAACAAGCGCTGCTGCCTGCTGCAGATAACAATGAGCGTGGGAATGCTGGTTTTTGTTTTTCCTTTTAGTATTACCAAGCTCTGCTTGCAACATCAGTGAGACTCCTCTGTTTCCGATAGCCGGAGAAACGAAGGAAAAAAGGCCAGGAAATATTGGGGTACATCAGACCTGATTGTTTCGTGTCTCTGACCTGTTTTCTCACAGTATTCGGCAACTTCTCCTTTAAGCACGGGGGAAAACAAGCCTCATATGGGAAATGTTCCTTATCTACTTGAAAGCGAATACTGCATCGTCTGGGCCAGGCCATTTGGAGGGTGCCCCACCGATTGTTCTTAGCAGAAAGCCTCCCAATCGTCAGCGCTCCCAAAAAGGCAGGCGCCGGGCTTTGCAAAGCGATCGCTTTCGAAGTTCCGCGTGTGCCGGCGCGCTCCTCTGCCTAAAGCCCTGCGAGTAGCTATAGCAACCCCCGAGAAGCTTAGTCCTGGCTTGTGATTGGATGGTTCAAACGGCTTTTCTTGAAAGTGGAAGAAAGGACGGGGAAGGGCTCCCTCGGCTTTTGACTATCTGAGATGGTCCGGCTCCAAACGAGGAAGCCCGGCAGCGCCGTTAGCTCCAGTTTTGTGTCGGAGCAACAAATTCGGCAGCTGGAACGGAAGCTGCGAGTGAGTGTTGAGATGGTGTAAATCGGTATCACCATGCAGCAAATCTACCCATCTAGGTAGTTGGTAACAATCTACACCAACGTGATAGTAACATCATCCATCCATCCATCAATGGTTAGCTACCAAAACGAATCCTCTACCTTGAGAGAAGGAAGTGTGATGTAAGGTGTCTTTAGATATTTGGGATCAGGAGTTAAAGCTAGAAAAGGTGTGATCTTCTGATGATCTCATCGCAGATTCCAGATTCCCTCCACTGGTATCCTTCAGTTGCATTACTTTACACTGAATTATTAACATTTCTTCATACAATATTTCTTTTTATTTTTTATAGTTTTTTTTAATTAAATAATGATTTAGTATTTATTAACTACCTGTTTTTAGCTTTGTTGCACACTGCCCAAAGTCATCCATCATAAGAGTGCAGTTATATAAATTTGATAAATAAATAAACCCTTATCATTCAGAGCCAACAATGTGCAAATATTAATGGGGGCTGTAGATCCAAAACATCTAAAAGGCATTGAACTCAAAAATGGATGGTGGATGATGTTACCAGTCTACTGGAGTGGCAAACACCAGACCTCCACTTGAGAACTTCAGATTCACAAACTCTGATATGCCTAAAACAAATGGGACTCAAAAGGCAGGTGGGTGGGAATTTCATTTGAAATTTTAAATAAGTATTTCAGAGATCCAGTGGGAGATGAGCACAATAACAGAATACATGTAAACATATCGCCATTCCTAGAAAACCTAGGCTTTAAGGTTTCTATCATGATGGGACCCGGGTTCTTTGATGGAGTGATTGGTGGGATTTAAGATATGAAAGGCTGGTTGATACAATCACTGAAGAAGGATTATAATAAGCTACTTTGGCTTGTTACCTCACTCATTGCACTTGTTTAAGTTCAGGCCCCTCTGAACTATGTTTTGTCAGACAAAAGAAGAAAGAATAATTGTGCTGGAAACAGAAAATGCCCTTCTGCACCTCAAGCTTGCAAAGGTAACAACATTTTCATTCCTTCAACCTATTATTTTGTACATATTTTTTTCCTAGACTTTCCAATTTAAACCCTGAGCTGAAGTCCAAAACATCCTGTCTGTTTTTTAGGTTTTTTTTCTTCACTCAGAGTGGCTATAGTTACCGAAAAGATTTTTTTTAAAAAAAATACAAAATCCCTGATTTTGGTTATGGACCTACCTGAAAACTATCAAAACTGATTGTGGTTTGTATTGTAATCTAACAGGTGGTAGGTACCTTGGTCAGCAAAGCACTGAATAAAGAAAGATTAACATCCATTTTGTGGATGTTAGTTTGAACGTACATCTTTATCTGTGCAGGTGATTACTGCGAGTTTCAGTAATCCTCTGAAAATGCAGTTAAGCATAAGCAGATTTGGAAAACATCTGTCAACCTTCCCTCCCTGACTGAAGCACTAATAATTGTATTTAATGACTGATCCAGTTCTTGGTTTTAAAAAACCAGCCAGAATAGGTATGGATGTGGATAAAAATAAACTACCGTAAATAAACAAGACCGAAGAGTCTTCCTAATATTTAAAGTTTTTTTTTTTCATGCATGATTACTAGTTAATTTACCCCAATATTCACTGTCTGATTGAAAATTCTCAAATCCAGATTATTGATACCATTCGGGTTGTTTTTCATGCTAGACAACCACTTCATTATTCTCATTAATTAAATATTTATATCTAATAAAATTGGGGAAAGTTTGGCCACAAGAAAACAGAGAAATTTAGTTCAGTGCTACTGAAGTTGAGCCAGATATATGGCCTGAGATTGAATTAGACCAAGGGTCCCATCT